GATTTAATCACATAATTGCATATTTATTACATTTTAATAATATACTAATAGATTAGTTATAAGATAATTAAAATTTAATGTAACTCTAGTAGTATTTAATATTATACTATACATATAAAAAATTAATATTGTATAGTATAAAAAATTAATAACTAAATATTAAAATGTGAATCAATTATACTGTATAATTAGTATTATAAATTTATTATACAAATTAATTTTAGTGGTTTACAAACAATTAATTTATAACTAAGTAAAGTAAAACTATTTTTGTTATTTTTGAACTAATAAAATAATTTTTTTTTTATTCTATAATAGTAATATTTAATTTACTAAATTTTTAATCATTAAAAGTTTAAATTATTTTTTTCATAGTACAATAAAAATTTTATAATTTATAACTTATAATATAATACAATACATTAAATTTTTAAGCAATAACAACCTAAAAGTTATTATTGTTGAAAAAATATAATATTAAAAAATAACAAAATTATATAACATTTACAATATAAAGTTAACTTTATTTTTATATAAAAATAAGTAATTAAAGTTTATTTTTAACTTTCAAATAAACTGTATTTACAATTTTAAATTAATGATTTGATGTTTGCTAACTAAATATTGTATATATATTTATATTGCTTAGACTTAGCCATTAAATTCATAGATTGTACAAATCATCTAAAAGTTTAATCAATTTTATCGGTTAATAATCCAATTTTGAAATGAGTTATTTTTGTACAGTATATTGTCATTAAGTAATACATACATTTGAAAAATATCTATATTATCCATTTAATTGTATAATAGCTAAACTAAATCAACTAAAATCTATATTATAGAAAATGATAAAAAATTTGTAAATATATAAGAAAATACTCTCTCTCTCTCTCTCTCTCTCTCTCTCTCTCTCTCTCTCTCTCTCTCTCTCTCTCTCTCTGTTAGTTATTTTTAATTGTACATGTTTCTAATAAATTAATATACTATCTATTGTTAAATCATTTATATTTTATGATTTAAACTAGACTGAAACTAGAAAAAAATAAATAATTAGTCATTTTAATATTATATTTTTATACGACTATATATTTTTAGATATCTATTGTTTTATACATTTATAATAAATTGCTATTATATGATATAATAATAATAATATAACATTTATAACATAAAAACAACCCTATTGTTCATTAATTCCCACACGGCATAACATTTGTATCTCTCATTACATTAATCATTCAAATAAAGCAACAAAAAAATATATTACTAATTGATGTATAGATTATATACAGTATAATAGATGGGTGAATAAACGAGATATTATTTTTTTTATATAAAATTAAATATCTGTAATTATATTTAGTTTATTATCTATAAATGTATTTTACTATTTAATAAATAATTAATTAATTAATATCTATAGTATAGCTTAATAATTATTCCGTTATATTTTAAAAAAAAAACTAATATAAAACGTATAAATATAAAAAAATAACACATAATATCAGATCATTAGTAAATTTATCTCTATTTTTAACTCTCAGTTTATTTTTTTATTTAAATGTCTTTCCGTTTTTTTTTGTGATACAAAAAAGAAATTCAATGAAATTGAAAAAATATATTATAATGATATGATATTATGCTTTAATACAGGAAATAATGATAAAAGTAATATATTTTGCTTAAAACTTTAAAATTTATTTCTAACTAAAAGTATAATTTATTTACTGTACTGTATATTCACAATTATAGTTTTTTAAAATGAAAATTTATGAATAATTGAAATAAAACTTTATATATTGTAGTAATGATTTTTAAAATATTAAATTTTATAATATATGTAATTTAAATATTTATTTTCGAAAACACAAACATAATATATAAAAATATAATCTTAATTATTATTTAAATCTTTAAATCTAGAAAAATATTGTTAATTTATAATAAAATGGTTATTTAATTGTATTTTGAAATAAATGTGTCTCTGAGATCTGAATTTAAAAATATATATTTAATTACATTTACAATTTAATACCAGTTTCACACCACAATTAGTTAATAAAAAAATATTAGTATATTGATAATATGTTTTAGCATTAATACTTTAAACTTTAATATACTAATATCATAGATAATTTGTTATAATCTAAAAATGTTTTGTCTAATTTTTTTAAAATTTTTAATAGTACAGTACAAGTGGATATTATTAATGTAATAGCAAACAAATAAATAACAGTAAAATATTTAACATATTTATATACAGTAAGTTAAAACTTGATACAGTTTATGTTAATAATTAAATATTAAAACTTAGAAACTGATAATTATTTTAAATTAACAATTAATGTTTTTAACAAATGTACACAGATAAAATTTCATTTATAAAGTCATAGCATAAAAATTAAGATTAAAACTAAAAAACAATTTTAAATACTGAATTAATTTAAACATTTTTAAGATATTTAATAAATAGTTTTTTTTAAATCATTATATCATAGCTAAAATAAAACATTAAAAAGTAAAACTAAACAAAAAATTTTTTAAAAATTTAAACCATTTTTATATTGACTTTTGTCACAAAAAGTTGTCTAATTTTTCTAAATTCATTGATAATAACAATGTAATCGTCGGGAAATTCGGGATTTGGATAAATAATATTCAAAATAACTGTTTGAATGTTTGCTAATTGTGTCAACGATTTCAATAAAATCAAATCATCAATTGTATGAATAGTTATCTCCAGATATTGAAGACACGGCAAATTGGAGGCAATTTTCGGTATAATTTTAGCGGATAACGAATCGGCAATCGATCGGCTGACTCGCAAATGTGTTAATGACTGTTGCAACGAAAACAACGGCTGCAATGATGTCAACCAAATGCCGATAAATACAAATTCAAATCGTTTTAAGCGCCGATAGTTTGCAATTTGCATTGCAGTCAACAGATCAAAGTAGCCGACAAACGTATGCTTCATATTACCGCTGATCGATAGCCGTCTCAATTGGTGACCACATTTAAGACCAATTTGACGCAACTGTTCAGCCAATACGTTGACCACTAGTCTGTTATCCGATTCAACATCTATACTAAGATCTGTCAATTGTCTCAGTTGTGTCAAACCGGACAATATATCCATAACTATCGGTAATATAAAACTGAATTCAATTTTCAACTGAAAAGCTGTCAATTGTTTGCCATAGACTGCAACAAACTGTTGATAAATTGTAATCATTTTGTCATTTCTTATATAAAAAGACATTTTCTGAAGTTTACTAAACACTGGTTTATCAGTAATAAAGTACTGATAATCGGTAATCATCTGTACATTTGAAAGTCCAGAATTTCGGTAATCAAATGCCGATAGTTGTGTACAATCAATGATATGTCTGTTCAAACCTCTTTCCAATTGTCGACCATTACTACTACTGCTATATCTTTGAATAGTTAGCAACTGTTTGGCAAACCGGCCGAAAAAGGCATCGATGGTCGCATCGGTTACTTTAACACTAAATCTGTTGAACAAAACTCGCCGCAAATGATGACAGTTTCGGGTAATAGCCGTCAATATCCAGTCATCTATTTTATATTTGAAGTCAATTACCGAAATATTTGGACACAACTGTAGAAGTCTGCAAAAGGCTTGAAAAGTCTTATTCTTAACCAATTTCTTGTTAATTGTCAGCACTGTTACTGTCTGTAGTATTACTCGATGCCATTGTTTTGATACACGTCTTAGTCTTAGCCTGTCTTCAAGTGTCAGATAAGTCGACGACTTCGACAACAGCAACAGTTCAGCCAAGTCGTCACCGAAACGATCAAACGATTGTCTTTGTCTTCTTGAACTTATACTTCCTCTTCTTCTTCTTTGGCAATCACTGTCCACTGTTGTCATCATATGTATAGACATTGTTGTTGTTGTTGTGGTTGTCGTCGTTGTTATGGATGAGATGACAATTGTGTGGATATATTGCTTATATACTCAAGTCTGATGCTATCATCATCGGTGGTAAACTTTTTTTTTAAAAAAAAATAATTATATAATAATTATTATTGTCATTCAATTATAGATATTAATGAATGACTTCATTGACTGATATATCATATCATATGTTAATTATTATATTAATTTAATGTTGTATTCAAACAGTTATTTCAAACAATTATTGATTAGTTATTTTTATTGTATAAAACTGTATAAACAATACAAACAAACGTAGAAAACATTTTATTTGTTTATTTAATATTTTTAAAAGCGTATATACTTTGAATGTACTCATTATTATTATTATTATTATTTATAAAAATAATTTAAAACTTTTAATACAAAATCTTATACTAATATCATATAATATTTTGTTTGTTCAATATGTTAACAATTATCTACAAATTATAATCAAGCAATTTATTTTTAGAAACTATGTTACTATGTATATACATGTAGTATATTTTATATAAAGATTTAATAAATATTATTTATAGTACATTATAGTACAGTGTATTATAATTATAGTAATCTAATCTATATTATTGTATTGCTCTTAACATTGTTAAAAAAATAACTTATCATAGAATTATAATTATTGTAATATTATTTATGATAAGTATAGTAAAATTTATATTATAATCAAATCAAATTAAATAAATTTTGTTTAAAAATAATTTTTAATTAGATTAATATTATTAATTTTTTAATTTTCAAAAGTTTAATATTAGTAAATACTAAATAGTTATTAGATATTTTACTGTTGATATAAAAATAAATTAGAAAATCTATGAGTATATTGAAAATATCTATACATTTAACGAAAAAATATATAGTAGTTGTACAGTAGATTAACATACTGTACATGTATTTAATAATAAAACTGTATTAATATTAATATTTATTTTATATACATTATATTGCAAATTTCAATATAATATGCATAAATTTACAGTCTATTATTTACTAGACATAAATAATGTACAAAATTTTAAATTAAAAGAGTTATAAAATGCAGTAGTTTTAAATATAAAACTTAATTAATAACACAATTAACTTTTATTTTTTAATATATAAAATATTTATCAAAATAGTACATTAAAAATAAAGCATAAGCTTCTAATCAATTAATTTAATCAAAATATTATTTGATTTTATTTTATCAATTACACTAAATTATTTCAACTTATATTAAAATGCAATATTTTAATAGTTGACAATTAATTTTTTTTTTTAAATATAATAAATTAAATATTGATAAATTTATATATAAATATTATGCAAAATATTAATATTTTAAAAATTAATTATTATTATTTCAATTTAACATTTATATAAATATGTTCAACAAAAATAAAACTATAACTTCAAAATCAATGATATTACTATTTGAATGCCTTATATAATAAACAATAAATTGCACACATTTTCAACAGTTTAATATAATGAACAATATTTTAGTATTATATAAATATTGACATTCATATCGGTATAAAACAATATATAAATAAAATAAAAATACAAAACAATAGAAAAACATTTGTTAAATTTTATAAAATATTTAATTTTCTAGACATACAATATTAGACAAAAAAAAATGTAATTCATAAAATATATAAACTTTTATAAACTTTTATTACACGTTGACTAAAATAATATTCATGTAATTATTAAATATATTAGTAATTAATAAATTTTTTCAATAGAAAATACAATTATTGTCTATTATTTATTCTCAAATAATATGAAATTTCTTACAATATATTCAATATTTAATATTATAATTTATGAAAATTTATTATTACTATTTGTGTCGGGTTTTAACATTGAGTTCACAAAATTGGAAAGACTTTTACTAAAAGAAAGACAATCTATTGATGCCATCAATACATTACTCGAGACACAGGAGGAAACCATTGCCGATATCAAGCAATTGGTCGCCGATTTCAATGTATTAAACTCAGTAACAGTGAAAGTCAATGGCGATGATAAAAAACCTGATGTCCAATTAGGACATCCCGTTGATGTCTATCTGGCTATTAGACGACTGGCCATCGACTGGAAAGATATGTATGATTTGCTCGACGAGAATCAGCGTTTGCTTAAAGAGGTTCAAACAAATCTGGTTGGCATTGATAACAGTCCCAATATATTTGGAGGAACAGTATTTCTAAATAGTATTACTGATGAAGAATTTAAAGGTATATTCAATTATTTTATAATAAATGTTTGTTTTTGTAATAAAATAAAAGTTTGTTTTTTAGATGGCATTCACGGTATGCGAGATTTAGTTAACATTTACGGTGTGGATATTAAATCAATGGCCAACGGTATCGTAAGCTATAGGGACAGGTATGGTATAAATCAACGGTACACAAGACCAGAAGCACCGGTAGTTCAGTTAAATTCGTTTGATTGTTTCGCTATCGGCAAACAATCGTACGATAACTTTGAGTACAGTCAGGCCCGCGAATGGTTTGAAATGGCTGTTCATAAGCGAAATAGTGAGACCAGTCCGGAAATGTTGGCCGAAACCTACGAACATTTGGCCTATTGTGAGGCCCGGACCAGCAATCTATCGCAAGCACTGGTTTACATGCATAAGTCGTTGGCTATTGAACCGCACGATAATGTCGACGAAATTAAAGAGTTATTGACTGTATGTATATGAAAACAATTCAGTAGTTAATAATTATTTTCTATTAAAATGCTATTATTATTATTATTAATTGAATATTTTTTTCAAGAATATGTCTATTGATGGCAATAACCGAAGTCCAATAAATACCGAGTATTTGATGGCCAAAAACCTGTGTCAAGGAATCACTTCGTTAAACACCAACAATAAGTTTTCAGTTCAATCACTTCACTGCTATTACATGAACACTGCGCGCATACCTGTGCTACGATTGATTCGTGTCAAAGTTGAACTGCTCTATCATTTACCACAGATTGTTGTCATACATGGTTTTTTGTCGGACACCGAAACACAAGTTCTCAAACAGTTGGCCAAACCTAAACTGTTTCGTACGACTGTAGTGCACGCAGAGACCAAACAACAGGTCAGAGACAGACATCGGGTGGCCGAAGGCGGTTGGCTGGACGACTCGGAAAATCAAGTGGTCGACAGGATTAGCAAACGTATTGCCGCCATAACCGGTATGGATGTCCGACAAGCGGAACAGTACAATGCAATCAAATACGGAGTGGGCGGCTATTATGCCCATCATTATGATGTTTTTGTACCGCAAAACACGCCAATATCGGCAAAAATATATGGCGACCAATTGAATCGGGTGGCCTCGTGGATCAACTATCTCGATGATGTACCCGCAGGCGGTGCCACTGTATTTCCCTATCTAGGGGTTACTGTATGGCCTGAAAAAGGTGCGGCATTATTGTGGCATAACCTGCTTAAGTCGGGTCACGTTGACTTGCAAACCTATCACGGAGGCTGTCCCGTATTAATTGGACATAAATGGATAGCCACTAAATGGATACCTGAATTGGGACAAACATTTACGAAACCCTGTTCTCATGATATCAATGAATATAATAAGCTGTGAATTATTTTAATAATAAATCTTTATTTATTACAAAATAATTTTTCAATTAATTTTTATTTTCTCATAATTTTATATGTACTGTATATTCATATATTTTTTTAAATATTTGCTGAAGAAAAACAAACAAACAACATAACGATTGTATAGTCGAAAATAATAGTGCAATTCAAACAATTACGATAATCTCAAAAGTAAATAACATTAGTTTTGCGTAAACTTTATTACTGTGATTATTGAATTAAATTTTAGAAATTATAAGTCAAACAAAAAAAGTGTTAAAAATATCTACTATTTATCTACGGTATGGGTAATGCCTCGACGGCAATAGACTCAATGTTGCATTCATTGCTACCCCGTTTGATCCGAAAGTATCCGTTTTCACCCCAACCGTTGCCCCAACTGTTCTTCACTATCCAGTATTTCTCGCCAGTCTTCGGATCTGCACCGTAGCCGACGGCCAGTACAGCGTGATTAGTAATGGCAAACGGGTCGTACCGAACGCCAACAACACTGTCCATTAACATAATATCATTGCTGCCACTTCTATGGCTGACACCCGTATGACTGTAGATACCACTCGAGTAGGACATAAAATCGTCGTACACTTCAAACGACACCGAAATCGGTCCATTCTTGACCAGAGACAGACGCATTAGTTCCTCATTACAGCCGCCGTAAAAACCGCCGACATAGTCATAACTGGCGATATAGTATCGGCGACACTGTTTCTCTTTGCACTGGCCATCGACGCCCCGATAGGGAAAACATTCTTCAGGAATAAACCCGTAGTCCTGACCGTACTTTCCCTGATATAATCCCGAGACAAACAAAAAAGCAATTTAAATAAACTAACTATTTTTACAGTTTAATTGTTTTGTTACAGCTATTAGATAAGGAAATCCTCCTTCACATCCCTGAGCGTACGTCGAACAGCTAACAACATCCTGTGGCGATAGTGTCAACTGTTCGGTGTTGTTGGTCAGCACCCGTATGCGAGCCTCGATCATACCGACCGACGAGAAACTATAGCAACTGCCACACGAACCTATCAATCATTTTAAACAATATATTGTCTATACTTATTGAGTTGTCTATACCTTGATTACGAACTGGAGACACAAAACTAACACCGTTTATGTTACGCCAATCAAAACTATCGGGCAATTGGGAAGCCATTTGTCGAATTTCCTCAGTTACAGGTGCCGCTGATGGAGGACTGATAATAATATATAAAAATTATTGTTTTAATTTTAAATAACACATTTCGTCCTTTAAAAAACAAATTAATAATGACCTTAAAATTTTAGACTTATGACCGCCTTTCATACGATAAATCTCTTTCATGGGTCGACCCTCCAAATGATGGTAGTGTTTGGCTGTCCACGAGCTCTGTATTGTGTTAATCGTGCGAATAGTCTCCGGATTTTGTCGGAACAATGACTCTTCCGAACCGATTAGCCGCTGGATTCGGTATGTTTTGGTTTCACGGCTACTACTACTATCGGTGGTAATACGGCGAGCAATATAACAGGCCCAGTTGTGGCCGAGTACGTCATGAGACCAACCGGGTCGGGTTCGGTGACAATAACTGGTCACATTAGTGCCGTGTTGTTCGTAATCGGAAAATGCAAAATACTTTCGGCCAGTAATGACAACTTCAAAACCTTGGTTATAGATGATAGTCCAGTGACCTGACATTACAAACAAACTAATAATCAAAACTCATTGTTTGCAAGTATAAGTTATATTTATATTTTAAACTTATATACTGTGATTCAATAGTTGCTGTATTATTAAAATATAAAAATTTGTTACTATTAAATAAATTAATATTTCAATTAATAATAATTTCAATGGTTTAACTAAACTAAAGCTAAACATTAGTTTAATTATTTTGTTGAATGAATATATTGTATTTCATTAAAATATAATTTTGTATTTGCTTATAAAGACATATAATAATAAATTATGAAATACAGTAAATAATAAATTTCTGATTTACTACTAAACCAGTTTTTTTTAAATAAAATAATTAATTACTTAGATAATCAACATTTACAGATTATTATTTTTTTATAGATTTACAGTACTTTTAATAGCAAACTATTATATTTTTTTGACATTTTGTTTATGTTTACACAACATTATATATAAATTTTTTGTCTCTAATTTTTTTTAAAAAAATAAATATATATTAAACCTATTATACTATACCTTTGTTGCCGTACTGATCGACGGCAATATTGGGAAACATTAGAGCAATCTTACGCTTATTGATCAACGGTTGCGAACCATTACAGACTTCCCGACTATCGGACGTAGTCTCCGACTCCTGGAATAGCCATACGCCTCGTATGTCTTCAAACGTACAGTTAGCCGGTGTGTCGGCCACCGTATAGCCAGTGCCGATAATGGCCACCAATAGTATCGATGAGAACAGTTTGTTTAAGACTGACATTTATTAGTTAGTAATTTACTAAATAAATATCTAATCTCTAATGACAAGTAATATATACTGTATATAGTATTTTATATGACAACAATTTTTGTTGCCTATCAAACAAATTATGATATATTCAATTTATTAGACAAAATTTGCTGAGTATATTGAATATTTTCATATATGAAATAATACAGTATATAAACACTCAACTGTTGATTGATTTCACTATATTTATCATCACTAGTTGTTTATGATTATAAATGATAAACAAGTTTGTGTAAAAATATTACTGATTTTTATAATATTTAGTAATATTTATAATATAATATATATAAATAGTTTAAAATATGATATACCGTAATGTAAACTATTTATAGTTTGATAAATTCAAGTTTTATTTTTGTTTTGATTTCATAAAATATACTAATACTACTAAATCCTATCTACTATTTTCTATAAAATTAATAATTAGTTATCACACCATCCAATGTTTGACTACTTTGTTTGATATCTAAACATTAAAATATTAAATGCTGATTAAACATACATTTATAACTGTATATTACAGTATAGTTTAAACTTTAAATTATAAAACGTTGAATTATAATTATGTAATACAGTATAGCAGTAAAAAAAATTAATAAAATTTAAATGTCAATTGTAATTAAGAATATAAAATAAATACAAACAACAAACTTCTGGATAAATTATAGTACAATTGATTGATAAGCAATTAAAATTGCTAATAATTTTATCTAATTAAAAATGGCTATTAAATATATATAAATAAATTTTATATTACGTTAATAAAATAGTTAATTAATAATACTTTGTTTATTATTAATATTTTTTTTTTGGTATACAATCCTTATATAAATCTCTATAATATACTAAATATATTTTCTAACAATAAAGTGCTTAAATTTGGGTCTCGTTTCCAGATACATAAGCTCTGACTCGCTGTATTGGCTCTGGGGTGACAATTTGACCGTCAATCGGATCAATCGTTGCAATTTGGACAGCGATTGTAGTCCCCGGTCGGTCAATATGACTGTACACAATCTCAAATTGCAAAGTTTCGGCAAATTGGCGGCCAGATTGTCAAAAAATTGATCCTGAATTTGTACACCAGTAATGGTCAATCGAGTCAATTGTCGACATCGGTTAAACATATCGCTGGTCAGTACAATGTTTTTATTGGTAAAACCTTTACCTGAAATGGCTATTTTCGTCACATGAGTGCTGCCAAACACTTCGTTAATATCCGAGACAAGTGTCTTGTAGTCCATATGAATGTCATATGATTTGTAGGTAAATTGTTTCATTTTAGGACAATTGTCTACCAATTGTTTCAACTGTTGTCTACTGAGGTGTTGTTCATTGAGATCCACATAAATAGACATATTTATCAGTGAACTGAAACATTTGAAACAATCGACGACTCTATCGATGACAACATTATCATTACACATGAAAAGTTTAAAATCTAATAATTTTATTTGTCGTTTGCGGCAAATATTGGCAAACAATGCCAACATCTCAACACTGTAGTCATCGTCGATGTGACTGTGAATGCGTTTAAGTTGTTTTGTAATTAGATTGGATGTGTCTTTATCTTCATCGGTATCGTCGTCATTCATAATAATGATGTCATCGATATGAATCCAATCGTTGACTCTTTGCAATCGTGGCATCGATGGTAACAATTGTTTAATTTGTTCATCCAATGGACTCAAAGCGAATGGAAAGTTAAATAATTTCAATTTACTTCCAAATTTGTCGATCATTTTACTAATGATTTTCTCATTAACTGAATGACCATACGATGTAAAGTGTGTCAACTGTCGACACTCGTTGACCACCAAAACAATCATTTGTTCGTAGAGTTTGTCTAAAACAATACGAAATTTATTAATATTTTCGACCAATTCTTCATCGATTATTTGTTCCAAATCCAGTAAGTTATCTATTTCGTAGTCATCATTGTCTATCTCTACTCCATTGTCTTCATTGTCTTCACTCTCATCTACTTCTTGATTAATTACCATTTCTTCATTGACATCAATAATGTTGTCATTTTCAGTGATAATGTTTTCATTGACTTTTTTATCAAATTTGTAAGCAATTAGAATCACAACTTTCGATATGTTTCTACACTTTCTGAACACTGACTGCCAATTGTCTGAACAGAGTTTGGGATACATTGACGGATCAAATCTATTGATGTTCACTGAATTTAGTTTTATAAAGACAATGAGTTCATCGACTTTGTTGAACATCAATCGTTGCCATTGTCTGGATGTCGGTTCGTATCTGAATTTGTCTTCAAATGGCAGATATGTTAACAACAATTCAGTCAAGTCATCACCGAATCGCTCGAACGAGTCTTTTGGCTTTGTATTCATTCTTCGATAGTAAGAGTCTTTGACAACTGTTTAGTCGACAACAAAAATATTTTAAAATAATACTGTAATTATCGTAACGAACCTAATGTTAAATGTTGTCAAACCTAATGTTGAACTATTAATTGTTTGTTTGAATTTGTTTTTATTTGTTAAACACGTGAATTGTTGTAATAAATTAAAATTATTAAGTATTAATGTTTATAACACTTTAAAACTATAAATTACTTATTTATGTTTTTTAATAACAAATATTGAAAACTTATTATTTTACTAATATTAAATTAAACATAAAAATAATGCAAAATATAAAAATTATTATATTGCTTTAAATTTACAACATTAAATAAAATGCACTACCAGATAGCATAGTTGAAAACTAAAATTTATTATTTTATTTTTTAAAAATTACATTAAATTTTTTACTGTATTGATATTAGTTAGGTATGGGAAAAGCATCGACAGCTATACTCTCAATGTTTAGTTCATCGGTAGCCCTCCTGATCCTGAAGTAACCATTTTCGCCAAAACTTTCGCCCCAACTGTTTTTGACGATCCAATACTTGGTACCGGTGGCCGCATCCACACCGTAACCGACTATTACCACCACATGATTGGTTATCTCAAATGGATTATAATCGACTCGGGTATTATCATTAGTAGTGGTCAAATGTTCGGGCTCTACATAGATACCCGATTGATACATAAAGAAATTTGAGGTCACATTGTACGATACGGCTAGGGGTCCGTTGTTGACCAACGATAGTCTCATAAGTGCCTCATTACAGCCCCCATAATAACCGCCCACATAGTTATATGATGCTGTATAGTATCGATTGCCCAGTTTTTTCGGCTCACATTTGGTATCTCTGCCAACATATGGATAGTTTTCTTCCAGTGTCAGACCAAAGTCCTGTCCATATTTACCCTTTAAAAAAATTGTTTCCCAAAAATCATTAATTAATTTATCTAAACAGTTGTTTGTTTAATAAAATGAAAATTAATCATCTCATACAGCAATCAAATATGGAAAACCACCGGAACATCCCTGAGCATAGTTTGAACAGCTGACCACATCCTGTGGCGATAGTGTCAATCGGAGTGTATTATTAGAGGCAATTGCCAATCGCGAATCAATCATACCGATGGCACCAAATGCATAGCAACTGCCACAACTACCTGTGCCCGCGGATGCGATTGATAATAATAATAATAATAATAATAATAACATTGATTACTATATTAATTAATAAAATAGTTATAATTATTGTAAAAAAAATTTACGTTGATCTTTAACGCTCGTCACAAAGTTAACACCACTAACGTTACGCCAATCAAAATGGTCGGGCAATTGAGCAGCCAATCGGCTAACTTCATCGGTAACCGGTGCCGGTTTAGGTCGACTTTTATTGTAAATAAAATTCAATTAGTTTATCAATAAATATGACTATTGTAGATAATATATATTATATATATACCTTAATAATGTCGATTTGGGTCCGCCCGCCATCAACAACATCTCACGTAATGTCTTTCCCTCAAACTGTCGATTATAGCCGGCTTTCCATAGATTTTGTTTTGTATTAATCTCGTTAATGGTGTCGACATTTTGCACAAACAGTTCGTTCAGATCGTCGCCCCAAGTGTATCTAAAATATGTGCCAACACTGGGCGTACCGCTATCTACTTTCTCGCCCCTAAAACAAGCCCAGTTATGGCCCAAAACATCGTGAGACCAGCCGTATTGGGTTTCATGACAATAGCTGGTGACTATATTACCTTTTTGGGTATAATTGGAAAAAGCAAAATATTTTCTATTGTTGACAATAACTTCAAAACCTTGATTATAGATCAAAGTCCAGGTTCCTAAATCAATAGATGTAATCATTGGTTAAATACAAATAAATTATTTTAATTGTTTAATAAAATTACTGAAAATTCAAACCATTATTTCCATATTCATCGACAGCTATATTAGGATAATTGAGCTCAACTTTAACAGTATTGACCAATCGTTGACTACCCTCACATTTTTCAGTCCTATCGGCCGACCGATCGGACTCGTGAAACTGCCAAACACCTCGTATCTCCTCATAGGAACAGTTAGCCGGTGTGTCGGCACTTACGCCATAAATAATGGACGTAAATACTAATAATAAAACAATATTTTTAATTACTAACATATTTTTATTGTAAAAATAAAATTAATTAATTACTAAACTAATTATAATTTTTTTTTAATTCAACTTTATATAATAAAATATATTATTGTATACAATCATAAGATATCATTTTATGATACAAAAGTTTTTTTTGTGGGAAATTTAACACACATAGTGTTACTTTATTTGTTTAACTTGAATTATACATTGCTTAGATTAGTTTATCATGCTAAATTAAAAATATTATAGTTGAGATTATAATTTATTTTGTTAATTGTCTATTCCTTGGTGGTAAATTGTTTTTTTTCTTAGTAGGGTTTAATTCAATTAGAAATAATTAAATAAATAAGATTATGATAAATATTTATAATTTAATTTGTTAGTACAATATTATTGTTATAAATGACTAATATTTATAATATAAATAAATAGTAATTAATAATATAGTATTTTATGTTTAATATAGTAATATATGAGTTACAACTAGTTTAATAATTATTTTACTGTTAATTATTGTAAATCTAAAACGATAAAATAGTTAAAATATTTTATTTGGTATATTAAAAAAAAAATAATGCAAATAATAATAAATCAATATTTTAAAAATTATTTATTTAATATAATATTTCTATAAATTTTGAACCATAGATATTAGCAATCAATTTTTTAATAGAAAAATTAATTTATTAAAATACTGTATTTTTTATTTTGTTTAAATAAAAAAATATCTAATTAGGTATAGGTGTTGCCTCAAAAACAATACTTTCAATGCCGACTTCATTACTGCCGCGGACTATCCTAAAGTAGCCATTTTCACCCCAATTGTCGCCCCAACTGTTTTTCACAATCCAATACTTGGTATTTGTTTCTTTGTCAACACCATAGCCCACCAACAGTACGGCGTGATTGACCTCAAAGAACGGGTTATATCTGACCAGACTATTGTCGACCGATACCTTAGTGTGCTTATAGATACCTTTATGATACGACCGAAAATCACTTTCCACTTGAAAGCCAACAGCTACCGGTCCATTATTGACCAGTGATACCAACATACGAGCCTCATTGCTACCACCGTAATAGTCGCCAACATAGCTATAGTTAGCCGTATAATACCTGTTTCCCAGTTTACTGGGCTTACAGTCCGAGTCTTGGCCAACATATGGATAATTTTGTTCGAGTGTAACACCAAAGTCTTGGGCATACTTTCCCTGTAAAGGATAGCATATAATTTAGAAATATTTGTTTTCTATTGGATATAATGAAAAAAAACAAGTGCTATACAGCTATCAAATATGCAAAACCACCGGCACATCCCTGCGAGTACTCGGAACAGCTGACCACGTCTTGCGGCGATAAAACCAATTGTTCAGTATTTTTGGTGGCAATACGTATGCGCGACTCTAGCATAGCCAACGAAGCAAATACATAGCAACTACCGCAACCACCTGTGCAGTTCACATAACCACACACACACACACACACACACACACACACACACCGGGAGGTAATAATAATAATAAGGTTAATGTTTAGGCATATCTTATCTAATTGATATGAAACAGACCTTGATTTCTAACTTGTGATACATAGTTAACGCCACTAACGTTACGCCAATCAAACTGTTCGGGTAGTTGGCTAATGGCATCCAAATCTTCATCAGTAACCGGTGCCGGCGATGGTCGACTGTACAAATAAAAATACATTTATTTTAGCAGTTTGTTTCATATCAATCAATAAATCAATCCACAAAACAAATACAAACCCAATAAATCTAGATTTTGGTCCACCACTCATACGGTCCATGTATTGCCATGACTTTCCTTCAAATTGTGTGTAGTGTTTGGCAGTCCATAGAGATTGCATTGAGTTTATGGTTTCAATTGCATCGGAATTTTGTTGGAAAACTTTTTCTGTTAGATCTGGTTCTCCAGTAATAACATACTCTTTACGTATAGGTTTGCCCTGTTTTTGACCTACAATACAGGCCCAGTTGCGTCCGAGTACATCATGAGACCAACCGGGTTTGGTTCGGTCACAAATACTGGTCACACGACTACCCTCTTGTTTATAGTCGGAGAAAGCAAAATATTTTCGATTATTAACAATCACTTCGAAACCCTGGTTATAGATGAGAGTCCATGTGCCTAATCAATCAATAGGACAGATATCTATTATTGTAAAAACATTTGTTTTTTTAAATAAATAATGCTAGAAATAGACATACCTTTATTGCCAAACTCATCCACCGCTATGTTTGGGTACTGGAGTTCAATCTTGACCTTATAGAGTGATCGTTGAGTGCCGTCACACTTCTCTGTCCTTTCTGCCGATCGGTCCGATTCAGACAACAGCCAAACCCCACGTATGTCTTCATAGGTACAGTTGGCCGGTGTATCGCAAAATACGCTCTGCAGACATACCAATAAAGTGGCGATAAATATAAATAATTGATTCATTATTAATTGAATTATTTGTTTTCTAATAATAAAAATATTTTTATTTACTTTTGATATATTTTATAAAATATTCTTTATATACAATTAGTTTCAAATAATCACTAATTTCTATAATTATCTGTGAATTATAACAAATGTTATTAATTTATTTATTGGATTTAACATTAATAATATATTTTAGATAAAATAATATTTAGTTCATTAACAATGTGCTTATTTGGTACAGTATTGGCACAATATTGGTTCAGATGTTTAGTAAATTAATTAGCGATAATATTATTACGATTATTATAATATGAAAATTATTGTATATATTTTGTAGAATCACATGAATTTTGCTAGGTTATTTTTTATATTTTATTAATAATAAATTTCATAAATTAATATAAAATAACTGTAAATTTAATATTACTTTTTAAAAAATCTTTATTATATAAGTTATGTTTGAAATAAATCTTTTAAAAAAAAAAAATATTTTGAATACAATAATAAATATAATAAATAAAATTTTATTTTATATATTGTATAATACTAAACTGAATTTAATATATATTGTATATACTAAATATTATTAGGTAATTTTGGGGAAAAAATTTAAAAAAATTATTTTATTAAATATTTTATTTTATTAAAAGATTATTCATCTAATTAGGTATAGGTGTGACCTCGACAGCGGCACTTTCAATGCCAACTTCATTGATTCCGCGCACTATCCTAAAGTAGCCATTTTCACCCCAATTGGCGCCCCAACTGTTTTTCACAATCCAATACTTGGTATTTGTCTCTTTATCCACACCATAGCCTACCACCAGTACGGCGTGATTGACCTCAAAGAACGGGTTATATCTGACCAGACTATTGTCGACCGATACCTTAGTGTGTTTATAGATACCTTTATGATACGACTGGAAATCACTTTCTACTTGAAAGTCAACAGCCAGTGGCCCGTTGTTGATCAGTGATACCAATATACGAGCTTCGTTGCCGGCACCGTAATAGCCGCCAACATAGCTATAGTTGGCCGTGTAATATCTGTTTCCCACTTTTTTGGCCTTGCACTCTGAATTATGGCCCACATAGGGAAAGTTATCTTCTATTGTAACACCAAAATCTTGTGCATACTTTCCCTATAAAAAGTAATTTATTTTTTTAAATATTAAAAGTATAATATAGATTAGTTTAAACTACATGTGCCTTACAGCAGTTAAATATGCAAAACCACCGGCGCATCCCTGCGAGTACTCGGAACAGCTGACCACGTCTTGCGGCGAAAAAACCAATTGTTCTTTGTTTTTGGTTAACACACGTATGCGTGACTCTAACTGTGCCATTGATGCAAACACAATGGATAGTTATACCGTATATATTATTATTATAAAAAGGAAAAATATTTTCTCAATTATACTGTTTAATAGACATACCTTTATTGCCAAACTCATCCACTGCTATGTTTGGATACTGGAGTTCAATCTTAACCTTATAGAGTGATCGTTGAGTGCCGTCACACTTCTCTGTCCTTTCTGCCGATCGCTCGGATTCAGACACTAACCAAACTCCACGTATGTCTTCATAGGTACAGTTGGCCGGTGTATCGCATCGTACACTATATAGACATACCAACACTGATATTAGTATAACAACCCTATTAACCATTATTTATATATTTAGTTTATACACTCCTACTAATTGAAATATCTAATAACAGTATAATGTATTAATGAATACTGTATTTATAGTTTTATAAATGTAAAAAATATTTTGATTATCAACTAATTTAATGTGAATTTTTTCATATGTTTATTATATTATTCTTATAGTATTCTTAGTAGTAATTAATTAATCAAATTTTCAAGTTTATGTTATGAATATAATTATATATAAATATTTAATTTTTTTAATAAAAAATTTAATTGTTTTCTAATCTTACCACAAAATATCTATCTGTAACATGTATTACAAATTTATCTATAAATGTGTTTTAAAAATTATTGGATTACTTTAATTATTATTAGAGTTTATTTAGTATTTTAGTTATAATTATACCACAACTTAGATTTATCATTTAATTTATTGATAAAATAAAAATATTTATTTATTTATTTATTAAATAAAAATATTTTTGATTATAGTTATTAAGAATTTTATAATTATAAAATTATCATCATAACTATAGTACTGATTATAATAGTCAGCTCAGTTAGGTATAGGAATGGCCTCAAGTGCTATACTTTCCATACCGCACTCATTGGTGCCACGGAGAATCCTAAAATAACCATGTTCACCCCAACTGGCGCCCCAACTGTTTTTCACTGTCCAGTACTTAAGCCCTGAGCTTTGGTCTTTGCCGTAGCCGACAACAGTGACCGCGTGATTGGTCTCAACAAACGGATTAAATCGGGCCAACTGTGCAGCCGTTTCATCGTGTGTGACATGTGTGTGCCGATAGATACCCGAGTGATAGCTCTGGAAGTCTCCGTGAACCATAAAACCAATGGCAAACGGACCGTTGTTGACCAGCGATACAAGCATACGTTCCTCATTGGTACCGCCATAAAAGCCGCCAATATAATTGTATAGAGCAGTATAGTAACGATTGCCCTGTTTTTTTGGCGTACATTTTGTGGTTCGGCCTTCGTATGGATAGTTGGCTTCGAGAGTTAGGCCAAAATCTTGAGCGTACTTACCCTGAGTTACAAATATATACCATTTTATTAGACTATACTAAACATATAGATACAGAAATAATAATAATAGAAATATATACTAACAGCGGTCAGGTATGGAAAGCCACCGTCACATCCCTGTGAATACTCGGAACAGCTGACAATGTCCTGCGGCGACAGTACTACTTGTTCGGTATTGTTGGTCAATCGTCGGAGTCTGGATTCGATCATATGGACCGAAGCAAATGCAAAACAACTGCCACAACCTCCTTGATTTCGGACAGGACTAACATAGTTAACACCGCTAACGTTACGCCAATCAAACTCATCGGGCAACTGACTGGCTAAATAGCGGTCTTCGTCGGTAACTGGTGCCGGTTGGGGACGACTTTAGTGTCAACAAATAAATAATTTATTGTTTTTGTCAATCAATTAATTTTGAATATTATGTTTTGTTTGTTTTTAATTACCCAATAATCTTAGATTTAGGTCCGCCGGCCAACAGTTCCATTTCAGCGTAGGTTTTGCCCTCAAACTCTGGATAATGTTTGGCTGTCCACAGGTTTTGCATTGAATTGATTTTGGCGATCGCATCGGCACTCTGTCTGAACACACGTGTCTTGAGACTGGCTTCTCGTTCATCTACAGTATATGTCTTGACAATCATTGAACCGTTTGTCTGTTTATGTCCCGTAAAACAGGCCCAGTTGTGACCCAACACATCATGAGACCAACCGGGTTTGGTTTCATGACAAATACTGGTCACACGACTGCCTTCTTGTTTATAGTCAGAGAAAGCAAAATATCTACGATTATTGACAACCACTTCGAAACCCTGGTTATAGATGATAGTCCACGTGCCTATAGAGAGAGAGAGAGAGGACAGGTATGTCATAATTATATTGATATAATCATCCAATGAGATATATACCTTTATTGCCAAACTCGTCGACGGCAACATTGGGATACTGGAGCTCTACCTTTACTTGATGTACGGCCCGTATAGTGCCTTCACATTTTTCAGTCTTTTCGGCCGACCGGTCCGATTCGGATAGTGTCCAAACACCGCGTATGTCTTCATAGGTACAGTTGGCCGGTGTGTCGGCCAAAACACTGTGCGCAACACAGACCAGCGCTAATGTTACTGATAATAACAACTTCATTATTATTGATAATATTAAAGTATTTTTTTTAAAATAAAAATATATAATAATAATATACCTATTTATATATATACATATAAATTTATATAAAATTTTTTTTATAGTTTTTAATTGTGAAAAACAAAGTTTTGCGATAATCTATTGCCACACATGAAGTCAAAAATTATCATTTTTTGTTGCATTAATCTTGTGATTTGACAGATGTTACTATAAATTGCCAATTAAAACAAATAAATATATATTTTATCAATTATATATATATATATATATATAATTTAATTTATTATTTAAATTGATAGGTATTTCTAGTGAATTTTGTCTGAAAATATATTTAAAATCATAAAACTAAATTAGTTTATAATAAATCTATAATATTTTTAAATTAAAAATAATATTTGCTATAATTTTTAAAGAATATTGTTTATAATAATTACAATATGTTATATATTATTTTTTAACAATATATATATATATTAATTTATCATTATTTTGTTTTGTTAGTTTTTTTGATAATTATTATCTTATATATTTTAAATGCTATAATAAATTCTAATTTTAAAAATTCTAATAAATAAACCTAAATTATTAATCTAAAAAAATTAAATTACTAAAATTTTATACATCTATAAAAAAATATTTTAGATAATTTAAACATAAAAATATTTAAATTATAATATTTAAGTAACAATATATAGGTTAATAGTTTTTGATGAAAAATGTTAACCGAAAAAATATTATAACATTTTTGTTGTAAAAATATTTTATTTATCGATTAAATTATTGTAATGTTTTAAACTGATATTTAAAAAAATATTTTACACTATAAATAATATATTAATTTTTATCTAATATAATTTCAACATATAAAGAAAATATCTATTTATTATAATAATTTTTATATTACCTAAAATTTTTAGGACATTATTAAATGAAAAACTCTACAATAGAGTAAAATAACTTATGTTTAGTTTAAATAATATTTTCAAACAGCAGTTTATTGCAACTAAAAATTATTCAAAATAGGGAATCAAAATCATAAGCAAACTATTTATAATAATAATAATATCGGTGACAAAATGACCAATAGTTTGGATTTTAAAGGTAAGGTAGCTATTGTTACCGGTGCCAGCAGTGGCATTGGCGAAGGTATAGCCAAATATTTGGCCGAATTGGGCGCACAAGTGGTCATAACCGGCCGTAATGCCGCTAACCTTAACCGTGTGGCCAAAGTTTGTCAAACTATATCACCCAAAGGTCTGAAGGTTTGTTGTAAAATATCAGTTTATCCCCAAAAATAACCTAAAATTACTTGAATTATATTAATTAATTAAAAAAAATATATCTTATATTAATATATAATGTGGTTTAATTATTAGTTGTATTATTTGTGGTTAATATTTATAGTTTTTCTTTATTATACATTAATCTTAAAATAACTACTAAACTGAAAACCTATTAATTTGCAAACAATAGGCACTAGAAGTAGTGGCCGACATAACCCGCGATGAGGACGTCCAACGATTGGTGGACACCACTATTGGCGCGTTCAACAAACTGGATATATTGGTCAACAATGCGGGCCAGTCGTGGACGACATCTATCTACGACCCGAATGTCGTACAAAACTACGAAAACGTTATGAATCTGGACCTGCGGTCAGTTATCCAATTGACACAACTGGCTGTACCTTATTTGGAGCGCTCAGGCGGTAACATCATAAACATATCCAGTATTGTGGCTCTTAAACCGGTAATTAATTAGTTAGCAAAACTTTAAATGTCACTAAAAATTTTTCCGCCAACCCTATAGATTGGCCCGTTTTTTGCCTATTGTATGGCCAAAAGCACGTTAGATATGTTTACAAAATGTTTGTCACTGGAGTTGGGACCCAAAGGCATACGTGTCAATAGTATTAAGTAAATTATGATAAAAACTATTATTTTTTTGTTTACTTGTTGTATAATTAATTAAATTTTTTTTATATTCTCACAGTTCAGGTGCAGTTAAATCAAACTTTTTAGGTATACAAACAAATTAATGACACAAATAGTATTTTATCAGTTTTGCATTTCTAAAAAAAAAATTAAATCATATATTTAGCTGCCATTGGTTTTACTGAGGATATGGTGAGAGTACAAGAGGAAAGTTTGAAACAATCGTCACCATTAGGTTTGTACGGTACACCACAAGACATTGCCCACGTAGTGGCCTATTTGGCCTCCGATGACGCCTCCTATGTCACGGGTGTTAACTTTTCGGCCGACGGCGGCGCCTATTTGTCGGATCTGAGAATTGTTGACCAGTAATTAAGCGGTCAGTTTGATGCTAACGGTTCCCATTAAGACTCGGATAATATTCACATAAACATACAAATAATAATAATAACAATTCATCTAAATTTTAAGTGATTTATTTTGATTGTAATTTTTTGTTGTTGATATATAAATACTTTGCAATTTGCTTATAAATATAATTCAAGTTTCATTAACAGTAGTATTATTAATATGAAATGAGTGTATTGTATGTGTGTTTTTATTGTTATATCATTTTTAAATATTTTCTAAATTAATTATAATTAAACCATTATATAATGTCTAATAACTTTTTTTGTGGTTTAATGTGTTTAATAAAAATGACTAAATAATAATATAGACAAAAGTGTTGTTAATTATAGTAATCATCTATTGATTAGTTTGTACTGTATTTCTAATAAATATTAAATCTTAGGCATTGAATGTTTTTTATATAAAAAAAATAAAATAAAATTAATGTAATGTAATTGATTAAAAATATTTTTACAATCTAATTATGGTATTTTAAAATAAATAAATTGTAAAAAATTATTTAAACAATGACTAGGCTATATTATTATGAAATTTATCAAAACAAAGCAAAAAATAATTTTGTTAAATATGAACCAATTTTTCAAAAAAATATAAAAATATTAGAAATAATGAAAATTTTTAAACAAAATCAAATGATATAATTTTACATTTCCGTAAAAAGATAATATATTATATAATATCGTAATAGTTGGAAAATAATAATAATAATTATTATACTGTAATAGTTAAATATTTCGCGCATTATAATAAAAAACAAAATATTGAAATTCAATTTAGTCCACGAAAATTATCAAATGTTTATATCATTATCGTATAGTCCTAGAAAAAAATGGGGGAAAACGTGTAAAAATACGGTACGTGTGCAATGTTAGGCATATAAATGGTAAACATTTAAAGTTATTTAAATTAGTAATTAATTAGTAAACATAGATACCAAACGATATTAACCAGTATTAGTAGTGAAAATAAATGTTATTATTTGTTAACAACAAAAGGGTTGTTAAAAATGCAAACAATATTTTTGACAACCCTTACCAATAAATGCAAAACATGACATACAGGTATATACCGGTATAATACTATAATTTACATAAAACAAAAAAAAGTACTCAAAAACTTATGAACATATACTAGAAGTACCCGATATATAACAATTGATTGATTGAATTTATTTATGACTTATTTACTTAGGTTTTCATCCATTTCTACTTTACAACTGTCATAATTGGGATGACGTTTAGGCGATTGATGAATAATACCAGTGCTTTGACTATTAGTACCGTAGCTATCGGTCAACTCTGCTGCTGCTGTTGTCGGACAGCCAACGATACGAGTTCTGGTGGCAAATAAGTCAGATATGAAAACAGTACTGAGTATAGCAACTACCAGTCCCTGTAGTAGACCGATAAGTACATCACTCCAGTGATGTTTATAGTCTGATATACGGGTAAATCCAGTATATATCACCAAATATATTAGCAGTGTCTGATACAGGGGACGAATGAAACCCAGTGCTGACCATCTAAGGCGCACCTGGAGATAGATCTATACACAAAAACAACAAAAAAAAGAAAATATCTATAAATATATTTAAAACTATATATATATATATATGTGTTTATGAGTCGGTTAGTACTGACCACAAGATAGACCAGACAGTAGGCAACAAACGATGAATGTCCGGACATAAAAGATAAGTGTGCATCACGTTTGCGGTGATCGTTAAACTCAATTGATGTGCACTGGTAGTCAGTAATATACCGATACTCATAACCCTGACATCCTGTTTGAATGGTAAATCTTGTGCCGTCCGATATTTCCGGTTTGCATACATCGATAAAGTGTGGCCTCAATCGACCGATAGTGTATTTGGCTATGTCGGTGGTCAACTGGGATATGAGTGCACCAAAAATAAACGGTGCTAATCGGCAATAGATTTGCCATAACAGGTCAGTATTGGCGGGCATTTTGTTTAGGCCGGTGCTATCATCCGGATCCTGACTTTGATTATAATTTTGGATAGCTTTTCGGTGGTATACTATCTCAACGATGATTATCTGTAATAAATTTTAGATAAATGTAAGATATATTTAAAAAAATAAATAAATATGTCATTCAAAATTTTGTACCGTAGTTTAAAAATAAAAATTATTAAAATTTTTATACCTTATTAATAATTATCAATAACATATTGTCTAATCATGTAGATTGTTTATATAATGTAATTCATATATTACAGGTAATACAGGTATTATATCTATAACAAAAAATTATAGCTATTTTATGATATGATAAATTATGCTAATTATTAGAAACATATTAATAATTATCGGCATATAAAAAATTAAACGCTTAGAAATTATTTATAATTTTTTTATAACTAAATTATTCTTAAAAAATTAATCTAGCATAAAATTATAATTATTTCATTTATAGAAAAAATAATTAAATCAGGATTAAATTAATGAACTATCAATTATTTTTTTGTAATACAGTATTTAAAAAAATAATTAAACAAATATAAATGCATTGTAACTTGGAAACTAGTATTATAAATATTTACTGTCTGTATATTTAGTAATAATAGATATTAATAAAAAATTATCGATAAAATTACTAACAATATCAATCTAAATTCAAATAAATATAAACTATATAAAATATAAGTATAACATTGACATTTTTATGACTAAACAATTGCTAATTAAAGATTAACTAGATCAATATCTAAAGTTAGATAAAATTAAATATAGAGTTACTGGTAATTTAGTAAAAGTATTACAAATTAAAATTTTAAGTTAAATTATATAATAAAGGATTTTGTGTAACAATTATATATTTTTTCAAATATTTCAATACATATATACTGTATTGTAGTTCACTATTATTATTATTATTGTTATAACAGGAAATGACAATAAAAGGTGTCAATAGTATTAGTACTAAATAATTATATTTAATAATAATAATAATAATAACTAAACTGTTATAATGGGAATCAATGTCGAGTAGAGATAGTTGACAACACTAGTTATGGTATTGTCTTTATACGGGTATCGGATGGACTCATCATCACAATTGAAGCCACGTTTGTAGGGCTGTCCCACCAGGAATAGTACAAACACTGGTATACCCACTAGTTGGGGGGGGGAGGACGGGGGCGGAGTGGGTGTGTGAAATTTAAAAAAATAACAAAAACAAAAATTAGCTAGTTAAAAATTTATTGACAAACAAAAATAAAAAATGATATATGAAATAAAACTTACAAATAATAATAGCACACAAATCGGTGCCCACTTTACGGACACACCGTTTATTAGCGGACAGGTATGTGTTGAATGAATTCATTAGAAAGAAATTAATTAATTAATTACTAATTTTTAAACAACAAAAATTAACAAACTGTTAATTATTATTATTTTTATCAAAAAAAACTATTTAATAAATAAAATGATGTTAATTAATTGAACCAGGGTGATATGTTAATTTTTGATTAATGTTTTTTTTGTTGATAACAATTATTAAAATGTGATAGGTAACATTGTTGTTATTGTTGTTAAATTAAAAATTATTAGACATTGTAATTTTTATAACATTATTTAATGTTTACAAGTAAATTTATTAAATTTAAAAAATAATAATATTATTATTATTACTAAAATTAATAAATTATTATCATTATTATTTTTTTTAGTTAGTTATTAATTGTACATAGTAAAACTAAAAATACTAAAATAAAATAAATAAATATTAGTGTAGTTATGGTATAAATGTTTGTTATTTTAGACATATATGAAATTGTCTGTACAATGATTGGTTAGATTGTCAATGACGTCACAAAATAGGAAATAATATACATTTTAACACATGATTTCAAATTGATTGAAATATTTTCCAAACGCGGGATTATTTGAAAATTTTATATTTATTAAAAAAAAATTAAATACTAATCAATAAAATGTGTGTTTATTATTGTATTTTTTTATATTTACATAACTAAACACACATCTAACATTTTTTTTGGTAATTATATTTTTTCATGTATTAAATTTGATTTATCAATATATTGTAATTTATTAAATTAAATAGTTTTCTTAATTGTCTATCCTTTAGTAATTAATGAACAAACTATAATTATTGAAATTAAAATACAAAAAATTACAATTACTAAATTAATTAATACTAATGGTTAGTAAAATATTCATAAACGTTATGTTTAATTTTTTATGCTATTAATATTTGACTACATTGTATAAATAGAAGACTAAACTAATACTATTGTATATATTTTTGTTTGTTTTTAGATATTTATGAGATTAATGACATTTGTTTCAAATATTTATTAAAAATAGTTATTTTATTAAGCGATAAACATTTATTTTTAAATTAAAGTCATCTTTAATATCGTTATTACAGTATATTTAAAAATTACAAATTTTATTACACTTTTTAAAGGCTTTTTTTGTTAAATATTAATAATATTATATTTTTTAAATAATTTTTTTTATAGATTTGATTTAATAATGATAGGTGAACAACAATAATATTTGATTAAACATTATATATTAATATTATAAATCATATAAATTCAATGTCAAACTAATATTACTCCTTAACTAAGTTATGAGTAGACTATTAAATATTAATTATAGTTTAAATATTAAATAATTTACTTTAAATTTATTAATATATAATTATCTCAAAGTTATTCTACATAATGTATCTTAAATTAGTGTTACACTAATTTTTTTTCATTAAATACATTACTTATTATTAAATTTTAGTTTTGTCTGAATATAAAAAATACCAGTTTTCTTGATTTCCAATAACAATAATAATACTATTAAAATATCACTAAAATTTTTGCTCAAAAACAGGTATAGCCTATATATTTGTATGCAATCTCTCTCTCTCTCTCTCTCTCTCTCTCTCTCTCTCTCTCTCTCTCTCACTCACTCACTCACTCACTCACTCACTCACTCACTCACTCACTCACTCACTCACATTAGATATGTTTTTAAAGTCCCTCTTATATTATAAATACAAGTTTCGGGTGTTTTTAAGTATTCTAAAAACTGTTATATCTGTGGTTTGTCTAGTTTTGTGAAAAACATATACATGTGATATTGGATTAGATCAGTTGGTAAATAACTGTACATCAATTAGTAATTAACAAATAGTCTAATAGTTTTTTTTTTTAAATAAAATAAATATTACAAAGTATTTTCATTATAATAAAACAAACTTTAGTTTATTGTAAAATAAAATATTGATACATTTATTAGTGGATTATTATTATATTAATAATATATGGTATGAAATATTTTTTCCATATGAATGTGTGTGTGTGTTTGTGTGTCAAGTATTAATTAATTATAAAATATTTACTAAAAATAATAATTAAAATAAATATTTGTTATATTAATAAATAATTAAAGTATAATAAATAATGTCCGCAACAATAGCGCGGTGTTTGAAAATAACATTTATGTTTGTATTTCGGCTCTGTGTCCACACCTATACCTACTTAACACTACCCGTTTACTATGTGCTACAAAAACCATACAAAACACTACAGCTATGTCAGTATCAACGGGCTGTCCAACTGAACCCCAACGACCCGTATTCCCCGTGGATCCGGTGCCAGGAAACCCGATTTCATCCGTTGACCACAAGCGAGTCGGTTGGCGATGCCATGCAACTCATGCGCCGACTCTATCCACTGGACAGACAATGTGTCGGCTATCGGACAGTTATCGCGGAAACTGTTTGCCGAGACAGTAGCGGTCAAGCCATGCGTTTGGACGGTAAAGTGTTGCGAAAAGTACGGTTAAGTCCATATGTATGGATGACCTATCGTGAAGTGTTCGATACAGTCGACTGTGTATCCAAAGCACTGGTAGCTAATGGAGTTGTAAGAGGAGATAAAATTGTATGCCTAACGGAAACATGTGTGGATACATTGATATTTTATCAGGTACATTTTGTTTCTGTTAACTATTATTATTACTATTGTAAAATTTTTAATTTGTGATATTTAATATTAATACTGTATATTATTTTTGATTGTTATAAAAAATAATAGGTGGCCATCAAAATTGGTGCAGTTATTGTTACAGTGTTTGCTACACTAGGAGAGGATGGTAAGTTTAATATACAGTATATTTTTTAAAAACTTATCAAGCATATATTGTATAAAATAAATTTTATTTAGTTTACTAGATTACTGATATTTTAAAATTTCTAATTAAGTTTAGTTAAAATATCAATAATTAGTTATATTTAATTAATTAGAAAAAAACAATATTTAAAAAATTAATAATTTAGTTTAATATTTCATTTTAATAATCTTATAGTATATTATTTTTATAAATAAATATAATTATGATCTAAGTTAGTAGTAAATAATTTTTTTTCAATACTATTGATTAATTGATTAATGAGTAACAAATTTTAAGATTTTTGAAAAAATTGTATATAAGTAAATATAGTTAAGTATTTAAGTATTTTAATATTTATTTAGTAACTATTGTTTTTACGTTATTTCATAAACATAAAACAAAACAATATATCAATTGGTAATATACTGTAAATGTATAAACAAATATTGAATTATAAATTAATAGACAACACAATAGACAATAACAAAATTTTAGTAAATTTTTAAATGGAAAAAATGATTAATTACATCAAAAGTCTTATTTGTCAAAACAATAATTGTATGATAAAAGCTATATATTTAAATAAAAAAATAATTGTGTCAAATAAAAATGCTATTAGTCAGAAAAAAATAACATATATATATAGTTAATACAGAAAACGTTAAATAAAACAACAAAATTTCAAATTTTTTTGTCTTACAATTAGTTGTCCTAAAACTCAAAAATATTTCAAAGACAATCAATAATAAATTAAGTTATTGTGTTAGTTGTGTTACTGTATTATTATTATAGGAAATAAAATGTATTTAAAAAAAAATTATTTATAATTTAACTTAAGTTTAGTTGTTTATTTTTTATTATTTTTATCATAAATTTATTTATTTATTGTGAATAAATAAAGTTTTCTATCTCAGAAAACTTAACATCTATATTATATTATAAATTTTTTTACTGTTTTAAATTATTTTAAAACACAATACAATTTAATATTAATACATCAATTCGTTTATTAATTAAAATAACTTATAAAGAAAATTTGTATTTTATAGACTGTTTAAATTATATAATAAAATATTGGAAAAAATTATATATCTATTTTATAAATATTTAAATTAGATTTTCTTTAAATTTTTTTATTATTTAAATGTAAAAGTAATATTGTATCAACAAATAATATTATTGTTTACAATAGGTATCTCTCATTGCATCAATGAGACCAATGCTTCATACATATACACAACATATGATTTACTGCCAACAGTTGGAAAACTTTTAGAAAATTGTCGGAAACTTTCGACAGTAATATATGTTGATAACAATTCCCAGACAATTAACACAAATAATAAAACCCAATTTGCATCACATATCAAACTATGGCCAATATCCAGATTACAGGCACAGGGATTACACTTGACTATGGATCTGAGCACTTGGCTACTGGATCCTGATCAGTTGCAAATTGTATTATTTAATTTTTTTGCTATATTTAAAAATACAAAAAAAAATTATTTTTTAAAAACATTTTCGTATTAATGATTTAGATATCCTATACATCGGGAACTACTGGCCAACCGAAAGGCATACAAATGACATCCAAACAGATGGTAAGCGCCGGCATATCGGCATCGGCTGTGATGGAAAAATTTATGGATGAGCCAGAAAAACATATATACATTGCTTATCTGCCGCAATCGCATTCACTCGAGTTGTCCATCGAATTGTATGCATTTATGGGCGGCTGTCCTATCGGTTTCGCCACACCGTTTACTTTGAACGATTCAGCACCGGGTCTGGCACCGGGCGAAACATGCGACTTGAAGCTACTGAAGCCCACAATTATGGTAACTGTTCCGCTAGTATTGGATCGCATGCGAAAGGAGATATACCATAAACTCAGAGCACGGACACCAGTGTCAGCCCCTATATTCACATTTCTAATGAAATACAAAAGCTATTGGACAGCAAAAGGTTACGACTGTCCCATTGTTAACAGTTTGGTGTGTCCTAAAGTAAGGGTACAGTTTGGTGATCGACTGGAGCATATGGTGGTCGGCGGAGCCGCTCTGTCGCCCGATTTGCAGCGTATGATTAAGTCGGCGCTCGACATAACCCTTGTCCAGGGATACGGCACTACCGAAACTTTTGGCGCCGTCCTCTGTATGGACGATCGAGACTTGTCATGGGATCGATGCGGTGCTCCTCTAAAGGACGTTCTCGTCCGACTAGACGATTGGCCCGAAGGTGGCTATACGGCCAGCGATCAGCCTAATCCGCGCGGCGAGTTGATTGTCGGTAGTCGTGGTGTGGCCATCGGCTACTTCAATAACCCGAAACTTACAACCGAGTCGTTTATTGATGATCTCAACGATTCAAGTGTCCGCTGGTTTCGTACGGGAGATATCGGCGAAGTGTTTGCCGACGGAACCGTCAAAATTATTGACCGCAAAAAAGATTTAATTAAACTATCAAATGGAGAATACTTTTCATTGGGAAAAGTAAGTTATATAATATTTTTATTTTATATAAATATATTGATATAAAAATAATTTTTTTTTGCTTGATTTTAGTTTTTTAAGATTAAATTTTATAGTTAAGCTGCGTTCACACTAATGCTTATCCAAGTAGACTTGACTTGTACTCAAGTCAAGTTTCAAGTAACATGTGTTCACATTGCCACACTTAAGTTTATTTAATTTTATAAAAATTAATCAAATTATTGAAATTATTTTATTAATTTTGATGTTAATTATAAAAATTAGACAAAAAATAATTAATTTTTATTTATTAAACAATTTAAAGGTAATATTTTTGCTAGACAGCGAAGCAGGCATTTAAAACATAATAATATTTACATATTATACTTAACACTGATTGGCTAAGTTTATAAGTCTCGTGTGTTCACACTGTACTTAATGAAGTAAACTTACTTAAGAAGGGGTCACTACTGTACTTGAGTTAAGTCAAGGTAACTCAAGTAAGTAAATGTGTGAACACCAAAACTTAAGTCAAGTCTACTTAGATTTTGTCCGTGTGAACGCAGCTTTATTGATTAGTTATCTGTTTGTGTGTATGTTTGATATTTTAGTTAATTGTAGTAAATTATTTGTTGCAAAAATCTAACAAAAATCTTTATATTAACAAATTTGATGTTTTTTAAAAAGGAAATTAATAGCTATGTTTGTTGATTACATTTATTGCATTTATTAAAAGTAATTTACTATTAGATTACCGATTATAATGATTGCACTACAAAAATGTTAATACAGTATTATTTATATATAGTATAAATAATATTACTCTAATACAATAATACATTAATATTTTATACAATCAGTAATTTGTTGTTGATTTTGACGCATAAATGATTAATTTTTTTCTGTTATTTATAAATTTATATATATTTATAGAAAAATCAGTACAGTATCATTTTTTATCATACATATTGTGAAATAGTCTAATCATTACAGTAATTGTTTTATCACATATATCGTACTTTTTATATAATAATATCAGAATATATTATTCAATATACTGTATATATATATATTTATATATACTGTAGAGTATAATCCTATTTTGTTGTGAATAATGAATATAACTCCACTAAATATATTGACTCAATTTGTTAGAAATCATATCGCAATTTATTATATACAGTATTTTATTTGTTTTTTTATCGTTGCAATAGTATTATGATATACAGTATAATAAAACAGTAGTTTCTAGTGAAACATGTATTTAATAATTCAAATATAAATCATATGTAATCATTAGTTATCTTATTTGAATATTTGAATAATACAAATTTATTATGTGATGAAATATAAAATAAAATTATATAATTAAATTTTGTTACAAATAATCCATATGAAAACACACACAAAAATATAATTTGATTTGATTTGAAAGTTTCTCTAATTATTTAATAATGTAGAAAATAACCTTTATTTTTATTTTACTTTTATTTTTAATTTTCTCATATATTATGCGCATACAAATTTCAAAAATTATAAATAATAAAAAAATTTATTTGTTAAATTAATTATCATTATATGTTGTAATGCTTAGTCTAAATAATAATTACTATTAGAAAATATGGTACAGTTTTAGTAAAGTTTTAATTAATTATTTTAACTAAAGTTTTCGCACAAATAAATAAAAATAATTGGAGAGACAAAAATGTAATAATCAATTGTGCGAAATAATTATTAATTAATTAATTAATTAAACTTTTTAAAAAAAATCAAATCAATAATTTTTGATGACTTAGTTAAACAAATAACAAGTAATTGAAATTAATTTTTCTTCTATTAAATAATTAATTATTATTTTTAAAAAATTTTTACTATCAGATTGAGTCGTGTCTGAAAAACTGTACACTAGTCGACAACATATGCATTGTAGGTAAGGCCTACAGAGACTACCTGATCGCACTGGTCATACCTAATCAAAAATCATTGCAACAATTGGCACAACACCTTAAACTATCTCATCTGTCGGACGTTGATCTCTGTACGAACAGTGCGATTGTCGATGCCGTCCATCGGGACATAATTGAATCGGGTCGCGAGTATAAGCTCAACAAACGCGAAATACCCGTAAAAATTATGATCTGTTCCGAGGAGTGGACACCCGATAACGGTATGCTGACTGCAGCCATGAAGTTAAAGCGCTTGAAGATTACCACCAGATATGCCAAAGATATTGAGACAATGTTTGGTGTTTTATAACAAATAGTTTAGATTTAGATTTTTTTTGTTGAAAATAAATTATTTGTTTTTAATTATTATTAGCTGTATATATAGATAACGTTCAGAAAGTTAAAAATAATTAAAAAATAAATATAAAAAATTAAAAAGTTATAAATATATATCTTAGTTATATAGTCTGTTATATAATCTTTAGTAATTAGATTATGTTATTTTTTCTCATTTTTATGGATTTTATTTATTATAATTATATGATACATAATATAATTGATCTATATTTTTATAGTATGTTTTTAAATTTTAAATGTCAATAATACACGATTATAAATTTTATTGATTAATAACATGGTTTGATTAGTAATTATTACATTGGCAAAATATATTATATTGATTATATATATATATATATAATGATTTGAATAATCTGATTTTTTTTATAAATAAATGTTAACTATAAGTTTTTTATTATATAGCGTTTCATTGTATAAATAGATTTATCATAATTATACTGTTATAATATTATAATTATAATATTACTGTACTATTTTAAATAAATAAATTGCAATCATTTTTTAATTAACTTAAATCACGAATTTAAGTTTATTTCTAATTAAATCAATTATTTGGCAATTTTTTTGTTTATTTTTGCTTATAATTATGTTTTTAAGACATTTGAAGGAAATATATGTTAAAAATAATTTCGTAGTAAATTAACAAAAATTAAATTACAATTAAATAGTAAAGTAAATAATTGAATTTTAAATTTTAAAAAACCTATTTTCAAATAAATGACAATTGTAATTAGTGTGTATTTATGCTTGATGAATATTAAATGTCCTAACTATTATTATTTAAAATTTATAAATTTAAAAAACAAATAAAACAACAAAAATTACATAGATTTAAAAATTACAATAAATTTATATTTAATTTCTAAAAATTAAACGGCAATTAACAATATTATATAAAGTTTTTATACTGTAATATATGATTTAATAAAATTAAATCTACTAAAATGTTTTGAAAGCATTTAACTATATTTAGTTTTCAATTTACTTTTGAGTATAAACAATCTTCTTTATTGTTATATTTATATTTTTTATTAAATAGTAAATAATAATCATAACTTTTATATAATAAAAATTTATAGTAAGTAATTTGGTATAATATTTATTATGTCCACAAACAAAATTTTATTTAACTATATTTTATATAAATTTATGACTAAAAATTAAAAAAAAATAAATACAATTCTAAAATTTATATTATAAACTTAACTACAGTTTTAGTAAATGTATTATTATTATAATAAAATTTAAAGTTTATAAAAATAATTTTATACATTATTATGAATTTTGTCTAAATCCTTGAATACCTGATTAACTTCATCAACAGTCTAATCGAAAAACTGGTTCTCTCTCTCACTCACTCACTCACTCACTCACTCACTCACTCACTCACTCACTCACTCACTCATTAAATAAAATACACATCCATTGATGTAACATCACTAGTAAAACAGTGATTTGCTTTTTATTTATTTTTTAAATGTAATTTTATATTTTTATAATATTATTAGTAAAATGTGAAATATGTTTTTAAATGTCAAAAAATGATTCAACTAAATTTTCATTTTTATAAAAATTAAACTAAAATTCAATTTTTTATTTGTCACACTGTGAGAAATATAAAGCAAAAATAAAAATAATAATAAATTTTTAAAAATAATATTCAGAAAATCTAATAATATTTCAATTTAATAATTTTAGTTTACTTAATATTTATTGTAGTTTTCAACTAGTCTACTAAAATTTTTAATATTATTTAATGTTTGCATCATTTTTTTATAACTATAAGTCAATTGTTATACTAAGTCATAAGATTTATTTTTTTAATAATTATTTTTAATTAAATTTTGTTGAATACAAAAATTAGTTATAATAATACAATACAATGATAATAATTAAATAATACTTTACATCTACAGTATACTTAAAAATGTACTTAAAAGTGCTTATTATTTATTAAATAATAATTATATTACAGTATATTAATGTAATTTATCAACTAATCAGTCGGTGCTTTGATTGCATTTACCAAACAAACAGAAAATGTGGGAATTGTTAATAGGATTAGCATTACTGACAATTGTTTTCCTAGCACTGACCGTATGGCTACTGTCCCGACTGGACTGTGATCTACAACTGGTCATCTACTCTAAGTTTGGTCACTCGTTGCACGATTTGCGCGGTAAGGTTTGCTGGATTACCGGTGCCAGCAGTGGTATTGGCGAAGCATTGGCTTATGTCTTAGCCACCAATGGTGTCAAACTGGTACTATCGGGTACTAACCGGCAGCGACTCGACGAAGTCAAGTCTCGGTGCCAGACTTTTGGACAGTTAGATCCAGACGACATACTAGTCCTCGACTTTGATATTACCAATTTTGATGTACACAATCATCAGCTCCAGGAGGTGTTGGTTCACCATAAAAAACTTGATATACTGGTTCTAAATGCTGGACGTACTCAACGATCTGATTTTGCAGACATTGATATGGATGTCGATAAAGCCATGTTTGATTGTAACGTGTTTGGACACGTGTCGATCGCACGTGTTGTCTTAAGATATTTTATTGCCAACAATATTACTGGCGCCCAGTTTGTGGTAACCTCCAGTGCTGCGGCAAAATTAGGTAATTGAATAAATTGTATAATAGTAATGTATTAAAAAAAATTATACAAAAAAAAATTATTTTATAATATTATTACTAATTATTGATTTTATTTTAGGTGCTCCCAACTCGGCTTCATATACAGCATCTAAATATGCATTACATGTATGTATGCTATGAGGACAGTCATTATTATACTAGTAATTATTGATTACAATTATTTGTTTATTTTTTTGTTGGGAATTTTAAAGGGTTATTTTGATTGCCTCCGCAATGAAGTTCACAGTCGAGGAATAGGCGTAACAATTGCCTGTCCGGGACCCGTACAGTCACGTATACAAGAAAATATGTATACCAATAGGTTGGGTATCACTGTTAACCGTATGGCAGACAACAGCAGTAGTAGTGACCGTATGGAAACCTCCCGGTGCGCGTATCTTATGGCCATTGCTGCTGTCAATCGTTTAGCGGAAGTCTGGATCTGTGACCAGCCGTTACTATCGCTTTACTATCTTAACCAGTATATGCCGGCACTGGCAGTAAGGATATTGCCCCGATTGATGTCCAAAAAACGAGTGGACAGATACCGGGAGGGCACCACTGGCCATCATTCTGAAAAATAATCTTAATTTTAACATTTGTATCTCAACTAGCATTGTATCATAATATTGTATTAATATTTATGAAATGATATATTGTTGAATAAATAAATTATTAATTATTTTGAATGACATTAATGTGTGATCTGTAATATTAAATAGCAGATATAAAAAATATATAAATTAATATTTTTATTTTAATTACTATTAAAAATTATTTAACAAATTTTTTTTAATTTCTTACTTAATTATTTCATATAATTTATAAGAGATTTGTATCGTTATATTTAGTGAAAGTCAGATAACTTGGCAATGACTGGATTATTGGGCCAATAAAGAGATGTTATAAATGTTTAAAAAAAAATAAAAGTAATTATTCAGTAATTAATGTATTTTGTGTTTAGTATTAATTGATTTTTCTGCCGTCACTTTTATTTAGTATAATTTCTTTCCCAAACATTTATAACCATCTCTTTATTGGCCCAATAATCCAGTCATTGCCCAGTTATCTGACTTTCACTAAATATAACGATACAAATCTCTTATATATGAAATAATTAAGTAATAAATATATATTTGAAAAAAAAATCTTTGTATAATCTATTACTAACTTTTATACTATATATATATATTTCTCTTATATTTTCAAAATATTTATTATAGTTATGTTAGATAAGAAAGATCTTCAAATTATTTTAATGTTTTTTTTGAAAAAATAAAATATTACTTCTTTTTATAGTTTTAATATGACTTAAGTAATAAATATTAATAGAAATGTTCACTTAATACAAATTACTTCAGTAGTGTATAGTCTTAATAATAATATAAATGCAATAATATTTTTGAAAAAAAGTCTTAACGTTAAATTGTTTTTTAAAAAACTGTTGAACTGAAAAGTTAAATATAATAATAGTGAAACAAATTTGAAAAATATAATGAATAATGTAATTGATATTCAAAATGTATTGTTTGAATACAGTCCAACAAATAAAGTTATAAATAATTTATCATTAAATGTAACAAAAGGTAAACACAAATTAATAATAATATTAATAAATTATCAAAAAAAATATTTATTATAAATTATTGTTTTTTGTTTATATAGAAAATACTTGATAAACATAAAAAATATATTAATAATTCTAATATAAATATCTATAATAATTTATAATGTTATTTAGTAAAATTTTTTGTTTGCTTTATTTTATGTGATTTTTTAGGCCAAATATTAGCCCTATTGGGTTGTAATGGGTCGGGAAAGACAACATTAATGAAACTAATATTAGGTCGACTCAAACCACAATCCGGTAATATATTTATAAGAAATGATAGGAAACTGTATGGAAATCAATTGGAAAATACGAGTAGTCCTGATGTGGGATATATGCCGCAAGAAATATCACTATTCAATGAATTTAATATCAAACAACTGATTCATTATTATGGACTCATATATCAATTGGATAATCAAACTATTAATAATCGTATTAATGAATTAAATCAATTGTTTCAATTGCCATCTCTGGATGAAAGAGTCGATAGTTTGAGTGGTGGACAACAAAGATTAGTATCGCTGGCCATAACACTAATACATTCACCAAAACTACTACTACTGGATGAGCCGACAGTCGGTGTCGACTCAATACTTAGATATCGTATTTGGCATTATTTGGAGCAACTGTGTCATCAAAATAGTAAATAAACATATTTTTGATATTTTAACAATACTATAGTTTAGATATTAATAAAAACGTTTTTTTAAATTTGTATAAAATTATCATGTTTAGTTTTTTTTAATAATTACAACTTAAATCAAATGAAATTTATTATTAAAATATTTTAGCAAAACTTAGATTTATTAGAAAAAGTTAATCTTACTTTTTTTTACTTTTTTTTGAAAAATTAATTATATTTGTTAAAGTTTTGTATTAAAAAATGTGAATTACAGTATTATTTATGAGTAGTATATTTTTTGTTTGATTTTTTTTAATTATAAGACACAACAGTTATAATAACGACTCATTACACTGAAGAGGCCAGACGTGCAGATTCAGTGGCTTTTATATATAATGGCTATTGTCTGGCAAATCAATCGCCTAATAATCTGATAGAAACTTATCGATGTTCAACACTGGATGATGTCTATTACAAGTTATGTCAAAAATCTATGGCTAAAAATATTGATATAAATGATAATGAAAACAATATTAATATAGTTGAGCCATCAACTAGTGACAACAATAGCTGTAATGATAATAATAATTATGTAGAAATTGATCAAAATTTTGTTAAAACCAAAAAAATTCAATTTAATTGTGTAAAAGCACTAGTATTGCGAAACTTTATTGAAATTAGACGCTGTCCCTGGCCATACCTGTGCTATTATTTACTATCATTTACTATTATATATCCCGTACATATAGCATTCAATGAACCACATGACATACCTGTTTCTATAGTTAACAACGATTTTATCACTGATGATAATAATAATTATTATTATTATAATAATACCATTTCAAAACAATTTATCCAATTATTAAATAATAGATATTTTTATAAAACTTATTACAACTCAACAAATTTGGCCTACAATTCAGTAGTTTCGGGGAAAAATTATCTATCAATTATAATAAATGATGGTTTCAGTGATACACTTGAAGGTCTATTAATAAATGGCACTATAATTATGAATGATTATGATATGTCGACAAACGTATCGTTAATCAGTTTGTTTGCTGATATGACTGATCCAATTTCTATATATTATAGTCAATATTATTTATATCAAACATTCACTGAAATGATAGAAAATTTTAGTCAAAATATAGGCCATAATCCCAGGGCTTACAATCTGCCTATTGATATATCATATAAAAATAATTATTCAATTAGAAAATTCAGTAATTATTTTATACCCGCACTATTGGCCTCTCAAAGCCAACTAATGAATGCATTATTTGTTAATAATGTTATGAATACAGTCATTGAACGTCGGTTAGGATATTTGGATCGTTATATGATAGCCGGTGTTAGGCCTATGGATATATTTATAACAAATATTATAATTAGTTTTATCCACATTTCACTACAATCGTTAGTATACATTGTTTTTGTATTCAATATATTAAATTATCCACTTTATGGCACATATCTGGATATTTTTATTATTTTACTAATCAATGGTATTCATGGTATGACAATTGGCACAACAATTCAGCTATTCTTCAATAATATTTTAATAATAATTGTAAGTTTTAAAAAAATACATTATAAATTGTAAATCAAAAAATATTTATTTATTTTTGTTTTAGAAAAATTATTAAAATTAAAATTTTTATATTTTATTTGATTGTTTTCTAGCTATTTATTTGGTCTATAATTTTTACTCAGATGTTAATATCGTCAGGTATTTGGCCGATTGAGTCATTACCCGGTTATCTAACTTTTATAACAAATATTTTACCGATGGCTTTGGGTACCAATATTATACGTAATATTCAATATAATGGTTGGTCACTATTGAAACATTTACAACTATTTTATCGTTGTTTAGTATTAATTGGTTATAATAGTATATTTACAATTGTTAATGTTATATTATTTCAAAAATTATAATTTTATATAAAACATATACATTTAAAATATATTAAAATATGTAAAAATTTATATAAAGCCACTTTATATAACTTATAAAACAAGTAAATAAAATATTTATTGCAAAAGGTATACAAAAAAACCAACTTAAAAAATAGATAATTATTTATTGATATTAACTAATAAAATTAATCAACTTTTAAAAAATAGTTAACACTGCATAATTAAATATATTTTTTATCAATAACTATATTAATTTTAATTTTCTAATAGTAATTTTTATAATACAAAAAACTACAAAGTTTTTAGATGTCAATCAAAATTAAATCAACTTAAATTTTGTAAACTATTAAAAATAAGTAATTTATAAAAAAAATAACATTTATATAAAAATTAATACAATCAATATATATATATTTATAATATCAATATATACTAGAGTTTTATTTAGATTTTTTATTAATAACAATTATTGATATTAAAATATTAATAATTACTAAATTTTATCAACTAATGTTTAGTTTTTGTTTAATTTAGTATATAATGAAAATATAAATAATTATTTAAAAATAAGTATTGTATGTTTTTAAGTCTACAGTAATGCTTAAAATATACATTTATATTGATATATGACAATAGCAAATATATAATTAGGTAAAAAAAACAATTACATATTATTAAATAATATAATTTATTAACAAAAATATTTATGTTGTAATTTATAGTTAAAAATTAGGAATTGGCACTAAAAAAGTATTTTTGATTGTATAAATTATAAATTTTTAATATGTATTATTAGTTTTATTTTACTTTATATATTGTTATTTTCTATTTAATATATTATAGTTTTAATTAAATTATTTTTTAGCATAATAAAGTACTATTTTCATTTAAATTTAGTTTATTTTATATAGTGGAGTACGTATTTAAGCAATTTGTTGTTTTTATGTATATTTTTTATTTTTGTCGTGACAACAGATCCCTTCTCTCTCTCTCTCTCTCTCTCTCTCTCTCTCTCTCCCTCTCTCTCTCTCTCTCTAAAATGTGTTGAATATATAAAATTATGTATTAAGTATTTTAATAATCTTATGCTTTATAATATTATTAATGTTAGACTTAGTGACAGTGTTATCCATAGTATCCAAAATCGGTAATTCGGTAATCAATTTCTAAAATAATAAAAATAAAAATTAATGTAATATATAATAATATCTACAGTAATAAAAATATTCTATATAATATTTTTACTATTAATACATAAATATCAACTAACACTTGAATTTGGCAACAAATACATGTCACCGATAAAACTTTTGTGTCCATCATTTGTAGACAAATTAGTTTCACTGTCGTCTGTGTTTGAACTGAGAAACACTACTTTCCCAGTAGTTTTGGCCCACATTTTGTCTACTCGTTCATCTAAATTGGTGCCAAACTTTTTGCTCTTGTCCTTCAAGTAGGTCAACAACATGTCCAGTCGTTTGTGAAAAATGGTGAGTATTTGTTCGGCATCGGTAATGACCAATTGCCGACCGGCCAACTCTTTTAGTTCGTAAACCAATCGCTGAATTTGTTTACTCAGATCATCGCCAATAGCTTTTAAATCAATTTGCAATTTATCATAATAACACTCAGGTATGTCATTAAAATAGTAGTCTATAATTAAATTTAGAATATCGTTGTTGTTGTTGTTGTTTTGCATCTTTTCGTCAAACATATCGACAATCAAAGCTCTATCGGCTTTTCCTTTACGAACCAACTGAGTAGCGATGTATGCGCCGTCCAAATAGCCCACAACATCATAGTTGCCGTTAGGCTCTAAATTTTCCATCAAATTTATATAATATTCAAAAACCACTTTCATTGTATACGACGGTTGATACATATGTCGGGTCCAATTGAGACCAATAACGGGTCGGTTAACTTTATGAGTCCATTGTTCAAATGCGGCAAAATTACATTCTGGTGGTGGCATTAAGTAAACTGGCTTTCCTTGAGTGTTATTGTTGAGCCTAACCCATGCATCGGTAGGTAATTGAAATCGATAGCATAGTATATGTGATTTACATGCTTTCAACTGATCCATATACTGACGGATGATATTATTATTGCCGGTATCGTAATCTTTCAACATTTTAACAGTGATTCGTTTGATTTGTTGGACACTCAGTTGACTACCGTATCGGGTTTGGAATTCATGTTGCATTTCAATGACAAACATTGATTCCATACCAATCTCTCCTAAACTCATGTTGTCGGGTGTGGTGTCCGGATCTATGCCCAGTGCGCGCCATAATTTACCAATAACACGATCTCCTTTTGTGACCAAATTTTTATTATATGTATTTATCACCTGAAGTTTGTAATAAATATTATAAATAAAATAGTATTAATAAAATTTATTTATTCTAAACATACATATGATGTAACAATTGGTTGTCTAGTTTGAAGCAATTTGTCCAATACGTGACAACACGAGTTGATTCGTTGCATTTGCATAGTTGCAAAATGTTTGACATAACTTTCCATATTGACGACAGCGCCAACATCGCCAATAGGTCCGTACTGTATGGCCAGTCCATGTAGACCATCGCGGTTTCGTTGTTCGCAAATACGTTCGCATAAAGAGTTTCCCAAACTGTAGTTGGTTTGACCGGCGTTACCCTTACCGCAAGCGAGAGATGAAAATACAACAAAATAATCCAATTTATATGTCAACGCACGGGTCAGTTGATCCAAGTGCTCAAACAACAAATACTTTGTGTCAATAGCCAACCGATATTTTTCCAATGATTTTGATTTATTCAACAGACAATCATTGAGCTCAAGAGCCAAATGAAAGACACCGCCGATGGGACCCAATTGTTCCGCTTCACAAAGTAGTTGTCGACTGCCATCAATAGTCTTACCATTTGCTGTCGACACAACTATACTAACTTTAAGTGCCCGTATCTGTTGTCCAAACAATAATAAACGATTGATAACATATTTCTGATAATTTGTTTTAATTCCGGAACGGGAGGTCAATACAAAGTTTTTAGCGCCCTTTTTAATCATCCAATGTATAAGCTCTAAGCCATAGCCACCCAAACCACCAGTTATTATATAACACTTGTCGGCATTGAAATAGGTTTTCCTGATGACCAACATATCGGGTGAGGGTTTTACTATAGTTATCGGTTCTCTATAATCTTCTTCCTTACGAAACTTAATTACAATTTTGCCGATATGTTTGCCAGTTGTCATATATCGAAATGCCTGTACGGCTTCGGTAGGCGTAAACACTGTTTTTGTTATAGGTTTGACACAACCATCGAAACCAGAGTTTTGATGCATCCATTGGAAAAACTTGGGCATTAGATCCACTTTCTTAGTCAAAGCCATATCCATTGCCACACCAATAAAACTGATATCACGTAAAAAGTCAAACATATCTAAGCGCTTATTTTGAATCATATCTACTTTTCCTAACTCCAAAAATCGGCCCCCATTTGCTATACACTGATAACTGGCATCAAGTAAATCGCCGGTCAATGAGTTAATACAAATGTCTACTCCCTTTCCTTCAGTCAACTCAAGTATTTTCAGTTTAAACAGTGTATCGCGTGAACTGAATATCTTATTATCAGATAATCCGTATTCTTTAATAAGAAACTGTCGTTTTTCTTCAGTCCCAATAGTGGTATATATATCGCAATCATAGTGTCTACATATATTAATAGCCGACTGTCCGATACCACCGGTTCCCGAATGAATCAATACTTTTTCGCCTAAAAATAGTTTTATATAATCATTATTTAATATATCATATCAATATACGATAATTGATATTTTACAACAATTTGTTTACCTTTTTGTAGATTACCCTTAAGTATAAGACCGTAATATAGTGTTGAATAATTGGCCACAACAGTGGCCGCCTCTTCCATTGACCAGTGATCGGGTATTGTTGTAATCCAATTCGATTGAGTATTAATAACCGATGCAATACACCCCATACCGACTCCCATAACACGTTCCCCAGTGTCCACTCGTCTGCCAGCAAATTCACAGCCGAGATCACTGGTATTATTGCTGTACAGGATATCTATAGGAGCTGTTATACGACCTAATGATAATTACAGATATTTTCAATCAATAAATATTAGTTTTTTTAAAATATTTATTACAAACCTGAAGCTAATATGACATCCTTGAAAATAAGACCCGAACAATAAACATTGACCGAAACATTTGTGTATTTATTGTTATTAAAATCGTAACGTTCCTTAGGATGCCAAATATGATTGCTGTCATACCAGGTCAGACCCGATATGTCGGCAACATTGTTTTGGCCATAATTTAGAAAATAGTTATTACTGATAACTGTGTCAAAATATTTCGGTAGTCTCATGTATCTATATGTACCAATATTACCGTCGCGTATAATATTTATGGCCATATTGTTGGCTAATATTGTAGCGTACGGTTCAACAGTAAAATCAATTGTGTTATTAGCGTTGATGATGTTGTTGTTGTTTTCATAATTAATAATACACTTAAAATAGTGTCCATTGGGCTCAAGTCGCAGACAATTTATAAAACCTAATAAACCGTTTATATTCGTGTCCTTATTGTTGGATATTAGCCAAATGGTGTCCACTTTACCATCCGATATATTGTTTAACTTGTTTTTTAATGTATCAAACCATAGATTATACTGTTGTTGTCCAGCAATCCATACTATACTATCGTTGATGGGAACGGTAGGTGTATCAGTAGATTTACGGAAAAGTATAGTCTGTGTGCCAATCGTGTCAAACTTAGAGCAAATAAACCGAAATCCAAGTTTAACTGCAATTTTATGGAACGTATCGATTCTGTCCGTCAAATATTTGTCTGTTAAGCACTTGTTTTTCGGATTAATCAATGATTTAATGGCCACTTCGGGTTCGGTTAACTTATAGCGAAATATGGCTAATAAAAAACCGTTTGTGACTATCGAGTCGTACATATCTTGTATAAAATTGTCGACACAGCCGACAATACTACTGCTGTCATCCCAGAGCTGGCAGTTGTCTCTCATTATAATCAAATGATTTGACAACAAAACTATACTTTCATTGACATCCCATTCCTGAATGTTGTATTTGTAACCAATATCTAGTGGTGGAACTCTAGGTTGTTGTCCTGATTTGTTGAAAATAATCCGATAGTTGACATCAGTGGGCATCACTTTAAAGTTAACCATTAATGGTATTATTTTATCCATCAAATAACTACTACCGGAGTTTTTTAAATTGATTTCAGTGACATTCAATTCGTGGACAGGTATCATATTTTCACTAATTATGTCAATCATTGTCCTCAATAGGCGTTCATTATTGTCAATATTGTTAATGATATCGAAATTGATATCAAATTCGGGTTTATTACATATGTCGGCAACAATTGTCATCAATTTATTATTGTTTTTAATTGTATCAATATTTCTATTGTCATTACTATTATAGTCTTTAACAATAGTCAGCAATTGATCCAAAATGTGTAAAATTGTATAACAATTTTTACTATTATTAGCTGATTTATACTCATTTATTACATTGTCTTCAAAAAGTTGATAATTGAAATTACATTTCATATCATTAAATATTGTTTGCTTTACTTTAGCTGCCAATGATTTACAAACCTATATATTTAAATAAATATAATATAATCTTACATTTAATATTAAATTTAATTTATGTAAAAACAAAACTTTTGTCATACTTAATTAATATTATAAATGTAATAACAATGTAATAATAATAATAGTAATAATAAAATAAAAGTTTATAATTTTAATTAATGATTACTCGCCTCAATATATTTATGAATTTCTTTACGATAGTCGACATCAATGGCCATAACATCAGTGTTGGGCATCCATTCATATGAATCCAACACGAGTTTCGTTGACTGAGTGTCCAATTTTCGCGGTATAGCCGAAGTACAAATCTCGTGGATTTCAATGCCATGTGTGACCAGCACCGGTATGTCACGATTATAATAGATGGGAACTTCAGCCTGATATTTATGAAATCGTTCAGCGAGTATATCGGTAGCAGTAATATCAATGTCTACATGATTTAGATTAAATTTATTTTGTTGTTCATCATCTGTAGGATTAATTAGTTTATTTGGTGGTGAATCCGATTGACGATATCGTTTCAATTGATCAAAAAATACTGTCGGATCAATTTTGACTGATCTAACCATAACAGGTACCATCATTTGACGTATCGGTGCCGATAAAAGCATTGACTGTAGCATCGAATCTAAGAATGTGACAAAATTGCCGTCCCATTCGTTAATGGCCAGAAAATTTCGGAAATTTTTCGTACGAATTGATTTCAATCGGCGAAAATGTGATCCGAAGTCGTAGCCATTGACACGCAATTCCTTACGTATGTCATCCCTTTCCAGTAGATATTCATCGGTTGCAATCACTTTATGATTGTTTTTTTCGGCAATCATATGCTGACACATAAGGAACTCCGTATTATTAGGTGGTGACGACATTTTACCTACTACTGCAATATTGTCGTCTTCCAATATAACAAAATCACCTTGATAATAGTTTTTTAGTAAATAAATTTAGTTAACATAGATTTCATTACATACCATTGTTGGCAAAATATCTGACTTTTAGATGAGATGGTCTATTAGCTGATATCAACGTTGCCCGACGAAACTGTATGTTTTCAAACACAACGGGAACGGTAATCCACAATTTCCCGACACTGGCAGCCAAATGGCGCCACGCGAGCATTAAATAATTGGTGGCCGGAAATATAATGTTACCGTCGATACAGTGATCGGCTAAAAATTCCCAGTCTTTGCTATTAATATCAACCGTCACATTCATATCGGAAGCCGTCAAACGACAGTTTGTCAGTGGATATAGACGTCGCTTGAATTGCTCGCTATGATCCCAACGGTGTAGCGATGCTATTGATGGCGTTTGTCGGGCTACTGGCCACTCGACTTTCGGATAGAGTATTTCAATGGACGGATTGAATCCCAGTTCATATAATTTGCTGACACCTGTCAGAAACCGGTCTAAGTTGTTGTCCTCCGTGTCATTCTTAAGCAACGATATATATGTTGAGTTAACCAATGTTTCGGCAATAATTTTGTTGAATATAGGATGTGGACTGAGCTCCAGTACAACAGCATCGGTAGGTATTTGTTTTAATCGTTCGTAAAACTCGACCGGATTTAACAAATTATATACAAAATACTCGGCCGATGCATACTTGAGCACATCATCATGAGGTTCGGTCAACAACGATGTGGACAACCATTTATTTGATCTAATTTTCGGCTCAGGTAGATATTTTTTTATTGCATCAATCATAGGCTGTGCCGATGATTGCAAATATTTGCTGTGATAGGGAATGTCATTGGTTTTCAATTGTCTTACAATCACTTCTCTATTTACCAGTTTATCTATGGTTTCATGCATTTCTTTGACGGGACCTATAAATTGATTTAATTTTCAACATATACTGTATGTACTCTACAAACATACTAAACCTGATAATATGATAACATCTTTAGCATTATTGCAAACCACATACACGCCATCCGAACAAAGCTTTTGAGCTTCCGATTTGGAAACAGCAGCGAAAACCATTAGACCCTTAGGTATGAGTCTATCACTTGCAGTTATGACTCCCCTATAGTAGGCCACAGCCATAGCCTCTCGAGTTGTTAGACAGCCGTCCGCATAGGCACTGGCAATCTCGCCGAACGAGTGGCCAATTATGCCGTCTGGTGTAATGTCTAATGATTTAATTAACTCAAACAATGCAATTTCTATGGATGTCTTCGAGCAAAACTTATTGGTCATTGTCGACACTGTTTGAGGATCGTCCGATAGGAGCAACCATTTCAAGTCAATATTAAAGTTTTCTGATAGTATTTGATGGCATTCATCCACTTTGTCGGCAAACACTTGTATAGACATCAATGCCTTTGCCATTGCTGGCCATTCGTCGCCCAAACCGGGAAACACAATCCACAAAGATTTGCGTGTTTTGTTGACATATCTACCAATGTTTCTCTTATAACTGTATTTAATGTCATTACTGTTTTCTCTCAATTTTTTTATCATAAGTGAGCCTTAGAAATATAATAGATAAAAAGATTTATTTATATATTAAAAAAAAATATTTATTTGAAATTGTCAGCAATTACAACATTACATTACCTCTATAGGGAAAGCCGGATGAGTTTACATTAGGCGAGTATTTCATAATTTCACCCAAAAGTGCCAAAAAATCTTTAGTGATTTTTTTAGGATTTTGTTCAATAAAATCCATAATATGTTTGACCGAGTCCTCAGTTCGGCCGCAAATATTGACTATTCTCGGTATAGTATCGGTTATACTCAGACAATCGTCATCACTAATGGATCTAATTTTATAGTTGGGTTCAACCAATAAGTGTGCATTAACTCCACCCAAACCAAAGTTGTTAATAGCGGCCATTCCTTCAACAAAATCAAAAATTAGTTTTGAGATTTAATATATAATAGTTATTTATGTTTTAAAAACTATACCCGGTTTGTATGGCATATTGCTAGTCACTGGACTAATTGGTGGACAGTATAGTCTAAGTTCATGTCTTAATTTGTTTAAATTAATATTACGAGGAATACATTCATTTTCAAAAGCTAACAACACTTTGATAAGTGAGGCCAAACCGGAACCTCCCTCAGCGTGACCCATATTGCTTTTCAAACTGCCCACTAATAATGGCTGTCGACGGTCTGGCTTTTCACAGTAAGCCCTAAAAATTGAACGAATTTCTTCGGGATCGCCAGCCTATAATACAGTCACATACTTCACACATAAAACACCTTATTTTGCTAATCACTTACTTTAGTTCCAGTCAAGTGTCCCTCAAAATATGTCAATTTCAATGGATCTATATTGGCCTCAGTGTAGGCCATTACCATTAATTTGTATTGGTCTTCACTCGACGGATGAAACATACCGATAGTCTTGCGGCCGTCGCAATTGACTCTCGAAGTCAGTACACTAGCGTACACTCGTCGAGCACCGGGTCCACGTTGAAGCAGAAGCGCCACAACAGTATCTGCTTTGACCATACCATCGGCGTATTCGTCCATTACTGATGAGCGTCCAGTTGGCGAACAAATACCCGATTCCTGTGCCATTTGGAGTACGTACGGATCAAATGTCATGTGTGTACCGCCAACGATAGCATAGTCCACATTACCTAAAATAATGTATATATAAAATTCTATTATATATTTTATGTGATATTAATAATAATAACATTATTGAAAACATACCTAATCTGAGATCATTGATTGCTAAGTTAAATGCCGTTAAACTGGACGAACACGCCGTGTCCACTATCATTGATGGACCTTTAAAATCAAATACAAAAGACACCCGATTGGCGAACATTGACTTCATATTCCCTGTATTTTGCAAAAACACTGAATCCTTTTGTGTAATAATATCCGGTTGTAGTTCCTCTGCATATCCATCACTGGCCGCATAACTGGCAACTCCTATGTAAACACCGGTTCGCGTACCGCGAAGTGAATCGGGATTTATTCCTATATAATGAATGGATATAATTATTTGTCAATAATTTTTATAGTACTTAATAAAAGTTGATAATTTTTTTCCAAAAATATATTTATTCGAATCTATTTTTTTCTATAAGTCATTAATATAGAAGTCAAAAATTAATTAATTATTATTTTTTATTATTATATTAAATACTAATGCTCTCAACTTATTATATTCATATTTATTATGTACTAAATATAGTATATACTGTATATATATATATATATATAAACAATAATATAAAAAACACTATTTAGCCAAAAATTTAAACAATTAGACATAATTACGATAATAGCCCCAAAAACAATACCTGCATCGATGATGGCTTCGTAGGTTACCTCTAATAGTAGACGAGATTGCGGATCAATTTCGTGACACATTTTTTCCATTAAACCGAAAAAAGTTATGTCAAACCTGTCGTAAGTTTTCAGTTTACCCATTCGTGAGTTCATATCATACAGTCCTACAAAAAACCGAAACATGAGTTTAGATTTTTCTCTTTTATTAGACAGTTATTTTCAAAAAACATGTCTAATATACTAAATATATATACCTTTAGGCCAACGCGGGTTGTCATCACTTATCATATCAGTGCCATTGTATAGGTTTTCGGCAAACTCATCAATAGTGTCGGATTGTGGGAATCGTCCACTCATACCACTGATCACTATCTGATCGTTCAATGTTTTAGACATATTTTTTAAAAATTATTGTTGATATATATGTTTTTAATTTTATTAAACAAAATTTATATTCTGATTACTGTATTCAAACAATTTATCTAAGTATTGAATAATTATTTTTTGTGAGTAATTTTTGTAAAATTTTTTTATACATTGCAAAATATCTATAGATATTTTATACTGGGTAAAATTATAAACCACATTACTTATATAGTATCGAAATTTTTGCTTATATTATACATATATATAATATTATGATATAACCTTGTAAAGTTTATAACCTTATTACTTACTTTTAAAAACTTATTGCTTATTTATACTGTATTTTTTTAATAATTTTATTTTTAGAATTTTGATTACCAATTTAAATTATTATATTTTTAGTTAACTATAAATTGATGCATATTTTATTATAATAAAAACAAATTCTATATAATTTTTTTTTCGTTTATTTAGCCATTCAATCATCTAATTCCTAAACCACAACAATATTAAGTGATAAAAAAATTAAAATAATTTGAAGGTCTTTCTTATCTAACATAACTATAATAATAACTATTTTAAAAATATAACAGAAATATATGAAAGTCAGTAATTGAGTAATTAGTAAGTAGTCTGTAGTAAAGTAATTATTTTAAATTACATTATGTGTGTGTTATGTAATATTAAATAACATATGAATATTTTTATTTTTACTTATAGTTAGCTTTTAAAAATGTTTTTATTTCTTAATTATTTATAAGATGTTTGGATCGTTATATTTATTGAAAGTTCTGATAACTGTGTAATCATCCGATTTAGCCAATAAAGAGGTGATATAAATGTTTGGGAAAAAATTATACAAAATAAAAGTGACTAAAATTTCAAATAATACTAACTTATATATACAGTATATATATATTCTAAAAAATAAGTCGTTATTTTTTCATAATTAGGAAAATTTTAAAATTTGATTGTATTTAATTATTTTTAAAAAAATATTTTTTTTTGATATACACTACAAACATAATTTAATTTCGTATCGCAAAAATATTGATATCATTAACTTTGAACTTTAATAACTTTTTTATTTTTTAACTTAAATAAACAAATTTGATATCAAATGAAAGAACACTTTTCAAAGTTTATAAGTCAATAAATAAAATTGCATTAATTATCATATTATCTATAAAAAAGCATAAGAAGTAAGAAATGGTAAAAAAAGTTATGTACAAAAAGTATTTTCGTGAAATCAAAACTTTAAATATTATTAACAAAATAAAGCTATTAATTTAGTAAAAACAATATTAATATCGAGTATTGCCTCCGTTGGCATCAATCACAGCCTGCAATCTTCTTGGAACACTTTGGATCAGCTTTTCTGTGACTTCTTCAGGTATATTTTTCCAGACATTAAATAACGACTCTTTAAACGCAGAAAAACTTTTTCTTTCGCTCTTTGGCACACGTCTGTCCAATTCATCCCATAGATGTTCAATAATATTGAGGTCAGGGCTCTGTGGCGGCCACTCAAGTGTCTCAATTTGATTGTCAGACAACCATTTCTTTGCCAATTTTGATGTGTGCTTTGGGTCGTTGTCCGCTTGAAATAAAAAATCATCGCTTATTTGTAGATCTCTGGCACTCTGAAGCAAATGTGGGGTCAAAATATTGTTAACGTAAATGTAGCGGTCCATAGTTGATGGAATTTCGACCAAATGGCCAACTCCCTGGCCTGTCATACACCCCCATACCATAACTGATTTCGAGTGCTTCACAGTTGGACATATATTATCAGGATTAATGCTTTCGCCTCTCTTTTTAAACACTCGTTGGCGACGTTTAGTACTAATAATCTCAAATTTTGACTCATCTGACCACAAGACCTTCCTCCAGTATGACATAGGCATCCGGATGTACTTTCGTGCAAAGTCTAATCGTTTTCTCTGATTTGTTAGGCTTATCATTGGACGTCTTCGCGCAATACCACTGTAATAACCCATTTCTTGAATCCGGTGTCTAATAGTGTTTCTGTGACACAAAATGTTTCTGGCGGCCAACTCTTCCTTAATCTCATCGGTGGTCAACTTCTTATTTTTTGCCACAATTCGACTCAATATCCTGTCCTGTTTAGCACTGGTACATCTTTTTCGACCACTTCTTGCGAGATTTCTAACTGTCCCGTACTTTTCGACTTTCTTTACAATTGATCGGACAGTATTATCAGTTGTTGTAAACAGTTCCGCTATTTTTGCGTATGACTTTCCGGTGCTGACTCTCATATCATACATTTGTTGGCGAATTGCATCTGAAAATTCTTGTATTTTAACCATTTTTATGATAATCACTGCATTTACTGTTTATTTACGTGTATTCAAATTAATAACAATGCATTGGAATCAATTGGTCCCAACAATGTGTCTGAAATCACGCGCGTTTTAAAAACACGAAAATAATTTTTGTACCTAAATTATTAACACCTATAACTTTACCTTGATATATTTTGTTATTTAAACCATTGTTTTGACCATCTAGTATATCAATTTAATTGTGATTTATTACTCTATTATTTGATATCAAATTTGTTTATTTAAGTTAAAAAATAAAAAAGTTATTAAAGTTTAAAGTTAATGATATCAATATTTTTACGATACGAAATTAGATTATGTTTTTAGTGTAAATGTTTTGATAAAAAAATTATTAATTAATTTTTTTACTTATATTAAAATTATTCATATATTATTCATATATCACTTATTATAAACATATAAATAATGGGTTGGACTCCTAAATATGGTCATCGTTTTGATATTGTTTGGCGTCGACTAGTTTCCAGTTTTTTTTAGACACGAATCAATCTTATAGAAAAAATATTAGTTATTTTTTTAAATAAGAAATAATTAAAATTATTTGTTTAACTAATTCAATAGTTATGAGATTTAATTTTTTTCCTACAATAGTTTAATTTATTAATTAATTTATAATTATAGTAATTATTATTATGTAGAGTAATCACTGCATTATGCAATAATTATAATATAATTATTATAATTAATTTTAACAAATAAATGTTTTTATTATTTATAATTGTATATAAAATATGTATTCAAATAATTTATAAGAAAATAAAAAGTCAATGTTTTTGTTTTATAAATGAGAAATATTCAGTATTTTCTATAGTATTTTCTACATTACTAAACAATTAGACAAATGAAATAATATTATATTTTTGTGTATGTTTTATATGGAATATTTGTAACAAAATTTAATTATATAATTTTATTTTATATTTTATCTCATAATAAATATGTATTATTCAAATATTCAAATAAGATAACTAATGATGACATATGATTTATATTTTGAATTATTATTAAAATAGATGTTTTAATAGAAACTAGTATTATATTATACAGTTGAGAATGCTACAAAACATTGCCCATAAACAAACTTTTATAGCGTAAATTATACCAAATAAATATTATAATAATTCACATATGTATTACAAAATTTTTTATTGTCTATATTTATCAGACATATTCTATACATATTATTAGTAATTTTCTAACTCCAATAGTAACAACACTCCTATAGATTTCAGAAAACAAAATCTTTTTCAAAGTTTGTTTGAATATAATATTATAATAAATTTTGATATGATTTCTAACAAATTGAGTCAATATATTCAGTGGAGTTATAGTATTCATTATTGACAACAAAATAAGATTATACTCTACAGTATATTTGTATATTCAATGGTATATACAGTATTATTATTATTATTATATAAAAAAGTATGATATGTGTGATAAAATAATTACTGTAATGAGTAGTCTATCTCACAATTCGTATAATAATAACAATACTTTACTTATTTTTCTATAAATATATAACTCTATAAATAACTGCAAAAATCAATCACTTATTTATGCGTCAAAATAAACAATAAATTACAGATTGAATAAAATATTATTACTGTATTAAAGTATAGTTATTATTATTGTGTATATAAATAATACTGTATTAAATCATTTTTGTAGTGCAATCATTATAATCGGTAATCTAATAGTAAATTAATTTTAATAAATGCAATAAATGTAATCAACAAATATAGCAATTAATTTCCTTTTTTAAAAACATCAAATCTGTTAATATAAAGATTTTTGTTAGATTTTTTGCTAAAAATAATTTACTACAATTTACTAAAAATATCAAACATACGCACAAATATTAATAGATAATAATCATAACTATAAAAATATAATCTTAAAATAATAAAAACAAATTAAAAAAACCTATTTTTATATCAATATATTTATATTATTCACTAGATAAAAATATAATAAAACCAGGGTTTCTAAAGGGGTAAGGGGTAAAACCTCTTACCCCCTCCCTGAGATCGAGAAATTTTGGATCTTACCCCCTGGCTTAAAGCCAAAAAATTAGAGGGCCCCTTATATTATTTTTAATTAATTACGGTTTAAGGCGCCGAAATTTTTTGTTCATCTTTGTAAAATTTTGTATTAAACAAAAATAAATAAATATTAAATTAGTTTTTATATAAATTTCTAGCTTTTGTATACAAAATAAATAGACAAAAATACCTAATTACATCTATTTAACATTTTTACACTAAATAATATCGTAATATATTTAATAAAACAATAAAAACTTAATTGTTTTTATATTTAAACATAAATAATTATTTATTTTCTAATTAACGAAAAATATACTTTAAAAATACTAAATATTATATTAAATAAATATTACATATGTATAGTTCGGGACTCTCTATAAGGGAAAAAAGGTTCCCTAATAAATTCCCACCAATTTTCCAGAAAAATAAAGAAAATTAATTTTATTTTTTAGCTCTTTATAAAAGATAAAATATATATACTTTATTTTATTTTAAAAGTAAAAAAACTAAAATTTTAACATAAATTTTAAAATAATTATATTTTAATATTTTAAAAATTTATATTTTTTAGTAGGAATATAGAGGGAAGCTATTTTTAGCATAAATTTTATTATAATTATATTTTATTTTTTTGCCGATATGCCGGCGCTTACCATATGTTTGGATGTCATTAGTTTGTCTTTTGGTTGGCCAGTAGTTCCAGATGTATAGGATATCTAAATCATTGGTTAACAATTTTTGTATAAAATTAATAGTTAAGTTTAAATTTTAAAATTTAACAAAAAAATAATTAATAAATAATTATATACAATTTGCAACTGATCAGGATCAAATAGCTAAAACGTTCATATAAAGTTTTAAACATATAATTTACTGTTGACAATGGTTTATTATATAATATAATATATAATATATGTATATTATATTATATTATATTATATTAATGTTTTGAATTTAATTAACAATTACTAATTTTTTTATTAACATTAATATCAACTTGACAATATATTATAATACTTAACTATCAAAGTTATTATTAAAAATTTAAAAAGCAAATAAAACAACAAAAATAAATAGATTTATATTGTTTAATATTTAAATAGATTTATAATTTTTAGTATTAAATATTTTTATACGTTTTTAGTATTTAAATTGATTTATATGCAATTCCTAAAAACTTAGCTAAAATTATTATATAAAGTGTTTATATTATATGATATTTATAAAAAAAAAAATAAATCTACTAAAATCTTTTGAAAGCATTTAACAGTATTTAGTTTTTAATTTGCTTTTTAAGTAAATTATAAATAATCTTCTTTATTGTTATATTTATATATTTTTTATTAAATAATAAATAATAATCATAACTTTTAAATTATCTAAATTCATACTGGGTAATTTGACATAATATATAATATGTATTCGATAAATATTTTATTTTAAAATAAATAACAATATATTATACTCTATATTATGATTATAATGTATTTTATATTTATATTTAAAAGCTTGACTAAAGCAAAAAAATATTTAAATACAATACTTAAATTCATATAACAAATTAAACTGCAGTTTTAGAAAATGTATTATTATTATTATAAAATTTAAAGTTTATAAAAATAATTATATACATTATTATGAATTTTGTCTAAATCATTGAATACCTGATTAACTTGAATAGAGTACAGTCTAATCATTACTTAATATAAATCCATTGATGTGACATCACTAGCAAAACATTGATTTGCTTTTTATTTTTGTTTTTTAAATGTATTTTTATATTTTTTAATATTATTAGTAAAATGTGAAATATATTTTTAAATGTCAAAAAATGATTCAATTAAATTTTCATTTTTATAAAAATTAAACTAAAATTCAATTTTTATATGTCACACTTTGAGTAATATAAAGTAGAAATAAAAATAATAATAAACTTTACTAAATAATATTGTAAATCTAATAATATTTCAATTTGATAATTTTAGTTTACTTTATATTTATTGTAGTTTACAATAAGTCTACTAAAACTTTTAATAATATTTAATGTTAGCATCAATTTATAACTATAACTCAATTGTTTTAACTACTTTATGTCATAAGATTTATCATTATTATTAAATAAATTTAATTGAATAAGAAAATTATGTACAATAATTCACTACAATGATAATAATTTAGTAATACATCTACAGTATACTTTAAAAATGTACTTAAAAGTGTTTATTATTTATTTAATAATAATTAGTTATTAGTATTATATTAATATAATTTATCAACTAATCAGTCGGTGCTTTAATTGACATTTACCAACCAAACAGAAAATGTGGGAATTGTTAATAGGATTAGCATTACTGACAATTGGTTTCCTAGCACTGACCGTATGGCTACTGTCCCGATTGGACTGTGATCTACAACTGGTCATCTACTCTAAGTTTGGCCACTCGTTGCACGATTTGCGCGGTAAGGTTTGCTGGATTATCGGTGCCAACAGTAGTAATGGCGAAGCATTGGTCTATATTTTAGCCACCAATGGTGTCAAACTAGTACTGTCGGGTACTAACCGGCAGCGACTCGACGAAGTCAAGTCTCGGTGCCAGAGCTTCGGACAGTTAGATCCAGACTACTGGGTAGAAAAAAACGAGTGGACAGTTATCGGGAAGCCATGACTCTGAAAAATAACTTTGATTTTGACATTTGTATGATGATTATAACATTATAATATTGTATTTATAAAATAAATATTATACTATCTATGATATAATTATATATCAAGCATTTATGTGTGTGTGTGTGTGAAGTTGTTTTATATATTAATTAATTTTATTAATATAAAATCTACAATAGGATCAATTGTAAGCCTTATATGTTTTATGTATTTATCTATAAAGTTTATGTTTATATTAGTTACTATTAAAACAATATCATAATAATAATAATAAAACATAGGATATTATAAATTGGATATAAATAGGATATTATAGCAAATTATAATCATTGCACACTTGAATTCAATAATTAAATGAGACTTATTTTATTTTGTGTAATATTTTGTTTATTTTTTCCGATTAAAAATAATAAATTGTAAAACTAATAGAAAATTTTATGATATTAATTAAAAAATTATACATAATTAACAACTTAATAAAATTATTAAAATAATTTTATATTATCTACTCTATGACATATTGTGTATTTTTTATTAACTAATTATATATATTATTTTTTATATAATAAAAAAAACTAACATTATAATTTATTAAAAAAGCAATTATTTTTGTTGTTGTAACACTCATTATAAAACAAACACTACTATTTTAATAGACTCTTTTATATATATATAGACAATAATTGATAGCGAAAATAATAGTATAAAATAATGGGCCAATTGTTTTAACAAATATATAGCAAATAATTTACAATAGATTTTATTATTGTCTATCCATCCATACATTCATTAATTGTTTGACAAAATAATATTTTTTTTTTTTTAAAAACAATACAATATTATAACATTTATGAAACATTACTAATTTATATTAAAGATAGATAATAAAATGTAATGTAGTAATTGAATGTACTGTACATTATAATAATAATACAGTATAAATCTTTACCTGTATATAAATTTATATCTGTATACCTATATTGATATAAAGTATAGGTGGCATAATAGGTATGAAATTTTTTTATATCTATTTAAGATATTTATTATATATTGTAATATTTATGTGTTTTTATGTTTGTCTGTAACATTGGCATTACTAGTGTTTTAGATTTTAAAAATATATTTCTTGTATTTGATTTAATGGATAATATGATGCTTTCAAAGTGATTTAAAATACATTTTTAATTATTTAATTAGTTTAAATTGATAGATTTGAAATATTTATACTGTATATATATGTGTGTGGTTTGCATTATACTGTATAATATTATTATTTATTATAATTAGTAATTAAATAAGTATTATAATGAAAATTTTAAAAATTGTAATACTAACAAAATTTTTTTTAATATCTAATATAATATTGATATATTCAATGTTTAATATTATAAATATTATATGTTTAAATAATATCATTATTTAATAGTAAAAGATCATGTATAAATAATTGTTTTTATTAAAATCACTATAAATATATAATTTTGGATTAATATCATAATCTATTTTAGTATTATCAATAAATTAATAAATATATTGTTTTTTTAGTTGAGATTTATTTCAATCAAATAGTAAACAATTGTTAAATCAAAATGTGATCTTTCATCTTATTTTACGTTTATGTCCTAACAATTTCACTACTAATATTACTACAGCTACTACTAACAGGGTTGGAAAAATACAAGGTTTTCAATTTTGGCTTTATAAAATACAGTAAAATACAATGTACTGGGTGTATTTTACAATAATAGAAAAATTACATTAACAATGATAAAATATTTATTTTTTATTAAAATTATTATTATTATTACATAATTTCAATATCGTTATTAGAATCGTTGTTTTCTAAAACTATTAAAATTAATATTAATTATTTTATTAATATATTTCAATACCAGAATTAAATTGAATAGCTAATTTCAAATTTTTTCAATATAAAAAATAATTATTATTACAAAACACGTGTTTGTTTGTGAATTTTGGTATTTTTGTTACTAGGTGGCGCTAATTTTTTTTGTAAGCCAAAATTGTCATGTAATTTACATTGTATTATACTGTATAATACGCTTTGTATTATACATACACTTTGTCTCTGCCAACACTGACTACTACTAATACTTCTAATACTACGCTATTATTATTATTATTATTATTATTATTATTACTACTATGACTACTAAAATTAATAACTAATATTTATAAGTACTGGGATTTTGGGAATTACATTTGTAAACATAGATAATGAAAATCATAGAATTTATAAAATACTATATTTAGTATAATTTATGTATGAATGTTAAGCAAAATAATTATAATCATATTTATTTTTATATTATTAGCAACACATTTTATGATGACAATTATTACAGTATATGATATATTGAATATATTGTAGAAAATTATATAATTTTTTTATACTGTTATATTGAATAAAGTTAAAATATTAAAACTTTCTATAAACTTATAAATTTTAAAACATAATAATGATTACTAATTTTGTAATAAAATAATGATTTATTCATACAAACTATACTGTACTAACACTCCATACACTACAGTATATACAGGTACTATAAATTTTTATACAGTATCTATATATATATATATTTATATATAAAACTTATATCATATGATTGATGTATTATAATAAATATATACTGTAGTTAATCAGTAAACTATCATTAATATTGGCTACAATATGTAAATATATTTATATATTATCAATATATACACTATATATTTCAATAATCTCTAATGAGACGAAAAAAAATATTAATATATTAATACAAAATATTTTTTGTTTGCATTTTTTAAAAAATCAAAACAAAACAAAATCAAAGTTTATTTAAATTTTTTGTTTTTTAAAAATTTTATTAATAAAAAATAAGACTACTATGCTAATAGTCTATGTGTGCATATATAAACAAAAAATATAAAGTTTATGTGAACAAAAATAAATTTGAACTGTTTTTTTGTGCACTAAATTTATTGATTAATTATGTGTGTATATGAGTAAATATACTGTAGATTTTCAAAAAAAAACTTTTTTTTAAATGTATATTTGTGTGTCTGTTTATAATCATATTACGAATATTAAAATTTTGATTTCAGATCCGGTTATAACATCAAAAATAAGGTATAGGCGATCGGTATTAAAATTTTGATATATCTTCGGGAACATAGAGAAAATGGCGGCCAAAGTATAAAAAAATTAAGGTTTAGAATTGTAGAGATCATCAAAAATAATATATAATTCATCAACATTTTTTATTTCTTTAAAAATAAAGAAAATAGCGGTAAAAAATATAAAAAAAATTAAAATTATAAATGTTTTAATATGTTTTGATTTCTATTGATTTTTAAAAAAAGAAAATGGCTACCAATTTATAATTTTTTTATTTTTAGTAAATTACTGTAATTTAAGAATATTTTAAGATAATGTATGGCAATGTTTGTAATTCTAATATTTATATAAAATGTAGAAGTAGTTCAGTAATTTATTTTATAAATCTGTTTTAAATTATAAATTTTATACCATACATGACTAAAGTTGAGTTTATTTTGTCATATTGAGTTATTTGATATCGAAATTTATAAAAATAATTTCTATTAATATAGACTATATAATTTTATGCCATCAAAGTTTGCTTCTGGCAATGCTTTATAGCATTCTCACTGGTTTTTTAATAGTAAATGTTTTTTTTTAATTAAATATAAACTATATTTTAGTGTTTTAGTAATGAATCATTATTATTATTTTTTGTTTTAATTTTCCAAAATTCCTTATTGTTTTTTAACAGTTTTTTAATGTTTGATATATACTTGTAATGATAACAATATAATTATATAATCGATATTATTTTTAATAAAATTAAAAAATATATATTAATGACATAACAAGTGTTGGTGTAATTTATTATTAAGTACATACTGTACTATACACTATATACAGTATACACTAACAAAAATAATCATTTATTTTTTTTAAGTAAATTAATATAGAAAAAAGGTTTTAATATATTAATAAATTTAATTAGTTTTCTTTTTTTAAAAACTATTAAATGTGTTTACTATTAATAATATTAGTAATAAAAAAAAACAATTTAATAAATGTTTTTGATGAAAATTTTATGATATTATTATTTTGTTTTTTTGAATTTAGCTTAAAAGATATTAATATATATATATTGGTGACAATATAAAATGTGTATATGTTTGTCTGTATAATATTAATTTATTAGTTTTTTATAAGACAATCAATCAACACATGTTGTATCGATACAGGTAATGGTTTCTATAATATAAACTATCTTTAGGGACATAAAACAAAACAAAATCTCAACTCAATTGTCTTAATGAGTTGTTTTTTAAGGTGGATACAGGTGTGTATGTGTTTGTATATATGTTCGTATATGTGTGTGATATGTATGTATGTATTTGTGTGTGTGTGTGTGTGTGTGTGTGTGTGTGTGTGTATTTAATACCCGATACTATATGTACTCATATGCACTGTGCATGAATGAAATTACGCACCGTTATGTTAACTGCACAGTGATATAGGATTTATATATAAATAGAGTTGACTTTTAAATAATGAATATTTTTTTGAATAGCAGTATTACTGTTATCCTATAAATTAATAGATCAACTAAATATATTATATAATAAAAGTAATAATAATAATAACCGTATTAATCATCAATTTTCAAATGTTTTTTTATTGTTAATGTTACGCAATTTATATTTTATAATTATTTGTAATATTATTTATTATTTTAATACAATTGTAAATGTTGTACGCATGGTATGTACAACATATATATTTTTATTATTGTATATTTTATTATAAAAGTAATTGTAATATTATGACATATTGTCATTAGTATGGGTTTAAATGTTTTAATCAGTTATTAGGGTTTATATTTAATTGTAATTTAAGATTTGTTATTGTTAATAATAAATAATTGTTATTTTTGGGGAAATGTTTTGTTTATTTTATTAATA